ACATGTCACTTGTGAGATTCACCAACAGTTTAGCCAGCTCATGCCTTGCAAGTGTGTCACATGGGAGTTTGCCAATGACATGTTCAATATGCTCATGAATTTTCTCATGTTTCAATGGGAATTTGACCATGACATGTCCAACATGCCCATGACTTGCAACATGCCCCGCATATGGGTTTGTGGTACCACATGTTGACTTTATCATAGGCTCCCTACCATGGACATAACTTGATAAGGAAAGGGCAGTGGGCGTATGGCAGACTCGCAGGATCGAGACTGTCTTGATGAAGTGGGACGGTGTTCCAGGGAACTTGGGCCACATCATTCCCACCGTGAAGGTGAATTCGGATCTGTGGACTTCAGACACTAACAGGATCAAAGACCTGCAGCGGCTCAACGGTGATTCCGAGTTGGCAGCTGCGCTTCTGATAGCCTTTTGGTTCAGGAACGACAGTGACATATGCCACTGGTTGAAGAGAGAGCTTGCCGACATCGTGTTGGAATTCTACAGCTACGGCGTGGGCTCGCAGTTCGACTTGGCAAAGTTCGGCACCACGGTTGAATTAGTTTTCCAACACTTATTGGCATCAGGGAGTTCATGTTAATTTCTCACCTTAGCTCCGAGTTACCTAACCTACTAGTAGGTCTGGTCGAAGACGAAGAACGGGACCGGCAAGTCATTGGACTCGGGGCGGCCGACAAGCGCCTTGTCCTAGCGAAGATGGTGGACGGCGCAATGACCGAAATGGCCCTGTCGGAGGACAAGGCGATCGAGGCCTTGTTGAGCAAAGGGAGCTACATGCGGGGATGGCACCCTGGCCTTCCCATTCACATGTCATGACATGATTGACATGGATTTGTCACTGATTGCATGCCATAACATGGTTGATCAGGTTGCCATGTTTCCGTGTTGCCATGCAACCAGTTGTTGTTATGATTCCATGTTGACATGATGCCATGTGGCCATGACTCCATGTCGACACAACGCGGCCATGACTCCATGTTGACATGGTGCCATGTGGCCAAGACTCCATGTTGACATGATGCTATGTGGACGTGACTCCATGTCGACTTAACATGGCCATGACTCCATGTTGACATGATGCCATGTGGCCATGACTCCATGTCGACATAACGCGGCCATGACTCCATGTTGACATGGTGCCATGTGGCCATGACTCCATGTTGACATGATGCTATGTGGCCATGACTCCATGTCGACTTAACATGGCCATGACTCCATGTTGACATGCTTGTCATCATGCTGACATGCTCTCATGTTGACATACCAACTGTCATGGTTTTGGGAGGATGCATTCTGACATCTGGTCCTTTAAAAACCTCAGCACTTGCCAGCGCTACACCAACATGGGCAGAAAGCTGAAGGAGCTTCCGGCTGTCATGGAGGCATTGAACACCATGTCCCACCGCTTTGGCGTGGTCCCCTTGACGGAATCACCTTTGGGGGTTCACCTTGGACTCGGAGAACCAAATTCCATTCTCCATCCTGGATAAAGTCCGCTGGATAGACCTGACTGGATTGAAAATGTCCAGCACCCAGCGGGGAGCCTTGTACCGTGCTCACAGGCTCATGCGGACGACGGGATGATGCTGGCCAATTGGTTCAGCCCAATTGGCCAGCCCATGCTTGCCACACATGGAGTTTCATGCTTGTCATCCATGGAGTTTTGCCATGCTTGCCATGTTAGGGACCGTGGGTATTCATGTTTGTTGGCCATGTTTCCCATGTGTGTCATGTTTGAGTCATGGTTTCGTTTACCACCATGGACTTGCATGCCTGCCATGGGTGTCCCAAATTCATGCAACATTAACACTAGCCCACTGTCCGGCCCCCGCAGGAATGCCAAAGAAGAAAGATGAGTCCCCTGATCAGCGAGACTTCAAGAAAGAAGCGAAGAAATTTGTAAAAACCTTGATGGAGGAATCGGACCCCAAAGCTTTATCGCTCCAAGATGTGAGGGAAGCTGTCCAAAAAGAGCTGTTGAAGGGAGAAGAACCCAAACATGTGGCAATGTTCAATGCCATTGTAGATTCCACCGTTTCACATTTTCACCGCAAGGAGAGAGAGGTGGCCAGCTCTTCGAAACCGAAAGGAGTTTTGAAACCAATCTTCAAGAAATAAAAGGTTGAACATGAGTTGGGAGCATGACCTGCTTCATATGGAGCTTGTCATGTCATGGTCACATGAGATGGGAACATGGCATGACGTGCCATGACCATGGCATGTCCATGTATGACATGTCATGTCTGAACACGGGATGTCTTGCCATGACTGTGGCATCATGTCCATGTATGACATGACATGGAATTTGCATGAAAGACATGCCATGGGGGGCTTTTGGGCGGGCAGGTCTGGGGGGGGGCTTTTCAGCATCAAAAAAGTTGTGGCATCAATTTTAACAAATTCCTTCATATAGTTAAAATAAGGTACACCCCTGAATCTTATATTTTCCTAATTGTTTGAAACATATGAACCAACCTGTTGCAAACATGTGTTTTTATGTAGCTTAGAATATGTTGACAATACCTTGAATTGAAGTAAAACATATTTCTCTCTTCCACAGCATGTCTTCCTTGATATACCAGCTGTGCACTGAAAGGGAAAACTAGGTGTGTTGTGAAAAGAGCTGTGTACTCTAAGTGGTTGAGCTGGATACATCTCACAAGGAACACTAAATTAAACCATTTCCAATATCTTGCTGCTAATTGCATCAGCAAAAATCCTCTGGAAAAATACGCATGCCAATCCCAAACCCTTCAATAGAAACAACTCTGCTTGGAATTAGAAGGACCCCAAAACCAAACTCAAAGAATCCAACCAGGAAAGTGAGGGTAGGTTAGGGTCAAGCCTTACAATCGATGACATCCCTATCACAAGGAACCATGGCAATGCATGCAGCACCTCATTCTTCTCCAATATTGAGACTCTAAATCCTTTAATTTACTGTTCATGTCATCCTAAAGGATGTTTGTACCCAACCCAACCATATAATTACATAATCGAATGTATATATAATCTTACAATACTAGTCTAGATTTATATTAAATACATTGAAACATATTGGTTTCAACCTGATCCATAGCATAAACATTCCAAGAACTTGGCCCCAAAAAGAAGAAACAAATCGAATCCTCCTGGTATATAACAATGCTTTTTACCACTTCCTTGCGCAGATTTCCCTAGCAAACTAGGAATGCAAATCAAAAAGGGAGCTTGGAATATCCAATAAAATCAGTGCAATCTGGCAGCCCACAAAGACATTGCACACAATCACTGTGTTCAAATCAAGCATGCCTATGATAGAGAATACCATTGCATAATGTTGAGGTATGCAGTTGTCCGCAGTTGTCCTTCTTAGTTTGTAGGCTGGCAAAATGGTTGCTAGATAATATGGAAATGATTTTGACAGGTATTGTCCATAGCAACACCTATGGAGGTAATCTTTGGCTAATGCAACTAAACTATGAATATTGCCAAGGATATATGTATAAAGTGGTGGCAGGAGCAGGCCAACAATACTCAGTCAGATGAGGCTAGGGCAAAAAAAAATAAGCAAAATTTGGCTGAACTAATATGGTAAAGGTGGTTATAACTAACTTTGGAAGTTATAGTTCTGATTGATGGCTGCTAATCATCAAAGGAAATAATCATTGCAACTTGCCACGCGTTGCCACAAAAATGATACATAGAAAAGGAAACTTGGCAGCATTATTTCTCTGTATCTTCAATTAATTACTCATCAATGTTAAGAGTTTGACTAAATTGTCTGCACTTTGAATGAAGGTACATTGGCCATACCAAGACTGAAGAAATATATGATATACCTTGCAGATATTTTCATTTTTTTTGCATAACAAAAAACACACGCTTGTATTGGCATGCTGTGTATAGCCATTCTTGACATACAAAGATGACGTTATATTCACATGATTCTTTATATATGTTCTCGCTGTGTATCATGCAATGGCCTATCCATTGGCAGAGCTATTATATTTACGGAACATTCTTGGCAACATATACTTTCATCAAAGCCTTTGGACATTAAAATTACGGACCAAACAAACCGAATGGTTTGAAAGGCCGGCTCCGGCACATCAAAGGTGTCGGATCCGTCCGGCCGGTACCGGAGTGCCACTCCGGATTGAAAGCTGGTTTCCTGGGGGGGAGAGCAAAATATAGGTACGGTATATGTTAGTTTTTTTTGGGGGGACCCCCCCCCTCAGCGAGGTCTAGAAGGCAAGAAAACAGTTTTAGGGTTTCCAGAGGTCTCGAGGAGGAATAGAGAAAGGGAAAAACGATATATTTATACAACAAGATTAGCAGCAATATATTAATCAATCCAAAATTTGACCCATGTCTGTCCATTCCTCTTTCTGCATTAAGATGATATGGCTGAAACTTAAGATTTATTGGAAAGTGTAACTATAATTGATTTTGAAATTCTAAGTTTGTATATTAGCTTAGCATATATTAGCACAAAGAAATATAAAATGAATCAGAATAACCTAAAAATCAAAGGTAATTGAAACAATGAGCATTTGATGACATATAGTCATATAGTGACCAAAAATGCTTGTCAGTGACTTTTACAAAACACCGTAAAAAAAAACAGCCCTCCACAAAGTATCTTCCTGTTCTTTTGCTATCAGTTGTTCTTGGCATCTCTTTTCCAAGAATATCTGTCTCTTCCATCTCTTGCTCTTGACATCACTTTCTCTTGGCCCCTGCTTCTCTTGCAATCTCTTTTTCTTGGCACCTCCTTTTCATGCCACTTTTTTCCTTGTGACATCTCCTTCTCTTCTCTCAACATGTCTCTCGCTTGGCATCACTTTCTCGTCTCTACTCTGCTTACCTCTGCTCTTCGTTGTCAATTACTGGGTGACAACAAACCCCCTTATGGATCCTTATGGAATCTTATGGACTTATATACCACCCTTTCCACTCAGTTTTTCATAACAAAAAACCAATGCCAAGTCACCCCAGGGCTTTCAGACCCGTCGACATCATCTGCAGCAATTTCTGAAGCTCCCGCAAGGAACCTCTGCATGTGGGATCAATCTTTGAATGTCGACCCAAATGATCCCCAAGTGGAGATTGATTATCAGTGTAAGTATAGTAGTTGCGGTAACTCTTAATATATCTTAATATGTTAATAATAATCTATCTTTGAAAAATGCAGTCGGATGTTTGTGCCCCATTCTGGGATATGATTGGCTACCAATACTATGAAAAAGGCACCAAATGCCATCGACTTCAAAGACTTGCTCCGCCACCCTCCATGTAATCCCGGCCTGGGACCTTGGCAAATTTCTGCTTTGAGGGGGAAGCCCAAAAATGAAGTGGATTTTCAATACCTAGGAGATATGCTGGGTACATCATGGTATATAGCTTGACGCTGTAAACCAACTTCTGCACAGGCCCTTCCTGCAAGGTCACCCTGGGCATGTCGTCGAGCCACGGGTTTTTCGGATCACACGGGCCACCCGTAGGATACGAATGAGGCGCATGACCTTCAGATCTGCCAGGAATTTGGCTTCTGTCGGTAAAAGCGCGCCCAACAGGTAAATCAAGGTCGCCTCAGAGACTAAAATTTGTGTCTGGGTGACCCAAAAAACACACCCAAAAAACATGCAGACTATATTCATTCATCCATCCCCCGATCATATCAAAAACTTCCCGAGATATGAGCCACCAAAGCGAACGGTACCACTACTAAACTGGGGTTATCTGGGAAGGGTTATATTGGCCTGAATTCAAGACGGATGGATGCGAAGGAAAAACATTGGCTTCCATCTTCTGTTCAAATATGTGGATTCTCCTTCATCCGAATTTGGGATGGTGGGCCCGCTATAACCACTGAACTTGTTAGTTCAAGCCATTTTCAACCGACCATTCGAAGCGAGTTTTTTCATGGGTTGAAGTTAATGTGCTAGGCTAAGGTCAACGAACCTACTCGAAGACTGAAAGTATACTCTCTCTCTCTGCAATAAGGTGAGCTATGACAAGGATACGGGGTCTGAAAACATCCCTTACCTTCGGGGTGGAGATACAAATATAACATGATATAACAATATATAACATGATATAAACCATGATACTGGGCGTTATATCCCAACTTGTGGTGGTTGTTACTATGGTTTTGCTAAGGTTACGCATTACCAACCCAAGTGCATCCCTAAGTACACCAATAGACTGACTTGACAGTCCAATGAGCTAAGCTTCTGATGAATGGGATCACTTTAAAGGGCACAGGATTTCAAACATCCCGGTCACAAAGCACCAGCTAAAAAGTGGTGTCAAGATTAGAGTGATTTGGGACAAATCCTATGCCCCAGGGATACACATGAACACATCTGAATCCAAACATGCAGAATGCCACATGCCATAACACTAGCAAAGCTTTACCCTCTGATCCTGGCTTGCTGGATACCCCCACTTAGGTCGATGATTTTCCCATGAACAGCTTCATTTATGAAAACACGACGACTGGGGAAAACGGTCTGGAATGTACCATCGATGAGTCGTATCTAGAATGTATCACCGATGAATCTTGAATTTTCTGGAACTTCGAGACTAACACAGGGACAATTTCCTTTGGATTCCATTGTGGGTAAGCTTTCCACATAGGGATAGGAAATCGCCTGCACTTGACCTTTGATTTCCAACGTTTCAAATGTCGAGTTTCCATATACCCAGATACAACGCAAAACAGGTCGAAGAGGATCGACTTGTGGCTACATGCCCTTTGAATTCCATGCAAATAGAACACAGCGCCCAACTCCAGAGTGTATAGGCCCAAACAAATTTCCTCGGCTGGGATCTTAACCGGCCGAAACAAAATGAAACAAGGGCACCCTCCCTGCTGAATGGAGTGGAACCAAACCATTCACCCATTCACCAGTTTGTTGAACTACCTTTGATTGCCGTTTTATGGGTTTGGCAAGTCATTTACTTTATTAGTTTCTCTGGATCGGTACGCCAAAACATCCAACAGCTATTATCAATTTGCGCAAAACATCGCAAAACGAGTGAAACAGATCTAAGTCCAAGAAATGTCCAAGGTCACATCTCTGTAAGTGTCCAAGCACACACAAAAAAAAATAGAATCTGCCGAGTTTCAGATGTTAACAGGGTCAGGGTGGGCGTCTCATGTCCCCTTGCTCTGGAATCCACATCCACCAAAGTGCTGAGAAAATCCAACAAAATGATGAAAGCCATGCCATTTACAAAGTAATCGCGATCGAGCATGATTGCCTCATTTGTTTTCATAAAGTGAATGTTTGCCATAATGAAGCGTATGGAAGGTGGAATTAGATAAACAAGAAGGGATTCGAAATTTCAGTTTTAATATCGGAAAAGAAAAGGACAATGGCGAATGCCCGCTTGGCAAATCATGTTCCGAAAACGGAGGAATTCTGACTCCATTGGTTGTTTGGACTTGGAGTAGACACGAAGGGTCGTCCTGATCGGCCGGTGGGCCCAGTCACTCCAGAAATTAAGTGGACATCACAGGCTCAGGCAGAGATCGATCCCAACAAACCTGACCACATAACCTCCATTGGTCCATGAATGCAGTGGAAAACCTATGTTGATTAGGTAAATTATGAAACACCTTCCATTTTTTCAATTGGTTGAAGCATGTACATCCTCATTTTTGGCATTTTTTCGTGGGTATAACATGGTATAACACCACCAACCTAACACCGATAGCGCCCATCTGCCTGTCTTTCATGCCACACTCCATCTCACGGCGACCAAATTGCGGCGGCTCCGGTGACCGCGGCTCGGACAGATTTGATAAGGTAACCATATGATTAACTGATGTGCATAATGGATAAATATGTGTATATACACATGTATATAAATTTAGTTAATATGATTAATTAGCTGGGTCTATAAACCAACGTGGAGGTTGAACGAGGAACAATTTGCAAGAGACCATGGTTTCTATCTCCCACAAAAAATGATTTCCATTGATTTCCTGTGGGTTGTCCTTCAATGATCTCCTGACAGGACTTGACGAGCCATAGCTGGTCCTTGAGCGTGGCCATCGCAGGCGACCATATCTCTGAGGCGACCACGGTAGTTTTGAATGGAGGGGATTCCGCTCACTCAGAATTCACCACATGTCTCGCTGCAAATTGATGCGGATGCTGATGGTTTTTGACACCAAAGGTGCGAATGTAAAGCACCATTCTTGATGATTACACCCAAATTTGCGATTGCTAAAGCCACAACAAAAAATAAACAAAAACATGTTTAAACCTCGATGCTTAAGTGTTCAACCATCATGGCCTGTCGATGGTTCCCATGTGTTGATCGCTTCAATCCGGGTCCGAGAATTTTCAGCTTCACCACCCAGCTATGACCAAGCCACGCCGGAAGTGTCTGAGGGGAAACAGCCTGCGATTGAGGCAATTCATGGGGAGTCTCATAAGGATACATGGGCTGTTTAACCACCAAAACATGGGGATATAAAATGATATATGATATATGTGATACATCATGGTGAATGGGTTATTTAATGTGATTTCATACGGGTTCAGGTAGTTTTAAGCAACCGAAATGGTGTCACAATGGCATTTGGCAACAAACAAGCAATAACCCTAGGCCCTTGAGGACGTTTATGGCACAATGGGGATGTAATGAGGCATGTATATGTATATATATATATATTATATATCCTTTAATAGAGGAATATATATAGGGGATACAATAGGGGGACAATGGGGATATAATGGGGATGATATGTATACCTACAACCTCCGCTAGTGCAAAATTATCGGCCGCTTCTCGAAAAAAAACGCTCTATTTCAAAATGATTCCCGTTTCACATGTCAACTGGGGACTGGGGTTTTATCAATTGAATCCAATCTGCTTGCAGGTATCACAGGTATCACCTCTACGCAATGCTGGATTCCTTCAACTTGAGAACGCACACATGCTTTGTCCCTTGCGTAATTGCGTTACTTGAGCTTCTTGGCTTTCGCTTTGTCTTTGGTTCACATCCCTCCTTGTTTCACGGTCGATTTTGTCTACTCTTATTCTATTCTTCTGTTGCCAACTTCCAGCAATACCAACCCGCCCCAATTGAATCAACACCGACAGGTTTGCAAGTACCTCGATTCCCTGGCTTTAGCAAGGTACAAACATGTCTTCGTTTCAACATTGCAAGAGTTATCCATCTCAAGCAGTTCAGACTGGGCATGCTCCAGTGGGAATTTGTGTGATCGTGTATGTTCAGAATATCCTTCATGAAGACAGGTGTTTACCATTCTGATCGCCCATTTTTTGCAAATATCAACGCTTAAAAAAAAACGTTTTTTCGACGGAAAAAAACGCTATTTCGATGGCAAAAAGATGTGCGGATTTCACAAATACCCATGTTGCGGATTGTTGTGGCGGATTCTGCGTATCTTTCCAAATTATGTGATTCGCTGTGGTGATTCAACTCTTTGCATCAAGTTGGACATGTAGAAGCCTTGGTATATATTTCCGTGTGATTCAAGGTGTGCACCTACCCTAAGCTCATTGAGTAACAAATTCGGGTTTTACCCATCAAAGTTGATTGTCAAAGGCGGCCTCTCTCTATCTGAAGAGGCCCTGAAATTTGATCAAATTCTCACTTAATGTGGCTTTGACAAAAACATCAACACCTCCTCAAAATCTGATGCCTGACAACAATTGCTTGCAAACAAAAACGGTGTGCATCCATAGGTCAGTGTGGTCAGGGGATCCTCTGAACTTCTCTGTAGGCCAGAGTTGGCTTAAGAGCGGTCCCCAACCTGCAAAAAACATAAGAACATGCTGAACATGCAAAAACCGATCGAAAGCAAAAAAAAAATGCCACATTGGGAAATTACAAGAAATTTTCCAAAGAGCACAAAAAATGCATACTTTGGAAGATGTATAGGTATATATATATATAAAAAAACATATATACATACATGTATTTTGCGTGAGGGTTACATCCATCACGTGGGTACTTGTTGAAACCATGAACCACCCCTGATGGAGGTTCTACCTGGATGTGTATCTACAAATTGCATACTTCCCCCAAACAAAAATCTATGTATGATATATCTGGGTAAATTTTCATATTTCAATATATAAGCTGAAATGTTGGGCCATTTTGGGATGATTTCCCTTATTTACCATGATTCCAGTGAGGGAGAACAGTGAGGTCGTTACAATTTACCCAGATGTATGATATATTATATATATATATAAATATATATTATATATATAAATATATATTATATATATATATATGTGCTATAATTATTACTATTAATTGTATTCCAGTAAACAAGAAATGCAATCATAACTGGGATGCATACGTAAGTCCCAGAGCTGGGTATCTGATTAGATTAAACTATTTGGATTCAAACAAATGCAACCGTAGTTGGGGCTGCATCATGGTACAATAGGTGTTCCATGCGTCAAGCTATGCGTAGCTAGCATGGCCACAGCCATGGTGCATGGCTTTCAGGTTCTCCGTGCATCACCAAATAAACATTAGGTATACGAAATATTTTCCAATGCAAAGAATATCAGAGAATCCTCATGATTCAACTCCTCATACCTATCTAGAATCTAAACCGGCATAATCCCTTCCCCCTAATACTAAATATCCCCAGAAACCATGGTTTAGTAGGGAATTTCCACATCATTGGGACCATTTCGGGGGTATTTAATATTAGGGGGATGGGATGAATCTGACTTTAATGCATCTAGATTCACCGCTCAGGGATCAAAACGACTGGCAGCTCACTGCGACCCAGGTGCTCAGTCCGATGTTGTGGCATGGTCACCCATCAATGGTGGGGGACCGCACGAAACTTTAACTGGGCTGTTCCAGGGTCAACACAAATGCTTGAAAACATGCGTGTCCTTCACAGCTTTTTTGGGAAACGGTTGAGTTTGCCGATTGGAAAAAGGAAAAATGGGACGCAGCTGGTGAAAGCAAATGCTGCGAGCACAAGGAACGCCCAAGAATTGTCAATCATCCATTGCTGAAACTCTACCAGAACCAATCGGATTCGGCTTCCCGACATTCGCAAAAATGATGACGTAAATCACCACAGTGATGCCACCAACAAATCATATCCAGTCATTCCCAATGCATCCCGTGTATCATCACGTCCGGAGCGCGCAGCATGCCTTTTTCCAACGCAGCTCATGTCACAAAGGTTGGACCTTGGATTGTCACCGGCGAAGCCGCCCCGGGCTGCGCTGCTATGAAGGTGTTTTCAAGTGTTACTGCAATGTTTCGGCCAACATATCCACACACCCAACAGTTATGGCCATTTATTAGTTATAAGTTGGTGTTAAATTGGATTATACATTCGATAAATGGTGTTATAAGTACTTATAACTGGTAAAAAGCCAGAACTGTAAAGGATTTTTCCCATAGTATTAAATAATAGTATATACTATTATTATTAATAGTTCATTGGTTCATAGTATGTCACATATTTCACCAGTCTTAAGATGGTCATCGCTGGAACAGTTACATCATTTCCCTCGTGACCTCGCGTGAGATCTAGGTGGCTTGACTGGTCACGTTGGTCCGCCGCCGAGCCACCTGAAAAAGCACCCCCCCCCTCGCGGGATGGACAGCTTGGGACCCAAGAAATTAGGATCAAACTGATCAAACATGTAACAATGATGTAACAATCATGTAAAACTCATGTAACCAAAACCTGTAATATGGGCTTTCTGGGAAAGTTGAAGAATTCTGGCATGGCACATCCAAACAGCAAACGCCGCAAAACCTACAGCACCCAGCGCCCGCGCCTGCTGCAGTTGCGAGATCTGTGCAGCAGGGATCTGCAAGGCCGTTGGGAAATGGTGATGCATCCGGAATCTGAGAATCTGGCAGACCTATAAAATTGGGATCCCAGACTTTGTTCTGTTTTGCCCAAGGGAACCTCAGATTTGGTCAGACCAAATCTACACACTGCAGGTGTTTCCCAACACGGATCGATGTTATATGTCCAGGGTCATCTGTAGAAACCACCGACCATCTGATGGCCACCATCTTCAGCGCCTTGCAGCCTGTGAGTGTCATCTCCAAAGCCTACAGGAAGCCACAGTCTCACCAGTCCAAAGGCAAGAAGAAAGGATGATTTTGAGGTGAAAAAGGTAAAAATCCAGATTCGAATATTGCTCGATGTCAGCATTTCATTGCCCGGAACTCCTAACTAACTTAGGTCCGGTGAACCTCCAGTGCATACATTTCAAGGAATTTGAAAGGACTACCATTCCAATTTTGGGAATGACTATGACTAGGAACCTCCATGAATGGTTGTTCGTGCCTTGTTCGCCCCAAAGTTGACCTATCACCCAGCAGGTCTGTAAAATCTCCAATCCAGAAAACAAGTTCCCTGCGTCACTTCCCGTCATCTGCCTCCAAGGATTTGGGCAAGGCCAACAGAAAGGCCTGGGGTCGCTTTTGATCGTGAAAAAATCATCGGGGGATGGGATGGTGAAGCCTAAATCATGCCTAAATTGTCAATTTTGGTTGGTGTGCCATACCAAAAGATAGGAATTTTACAAGGATCAATTATGTGAATTATGATCATCCTTTGGAAGAGGGGGGTCGCATTTTCAGACAACCACGCCTGGGAATCAGAAATCATTGTTGAACCTGCCCTGAACAAATAGTTCAAACCCAAGTAACAAAAGAACAATAAAACATGAACACACTTCAACCCCAGAGAAAAATAACTTGATAACGGAAACATGGGAAAACATATATGACCAATGTAGATCATAACTGAAAAGAGTGAAATCAACAAACACATATGTTGAACACACGTGAAAACACCACAAGAAACAAATAAGAACACCCTTTTTATCCTTGTTTGCCACCAGATCTCTTGTTGTCCCTCGACCCCGCCTTGATGGCATCCAAGCCCAGAGCATTCATCGTGAGATCCTACACGCACTTCACCATGGATTCTCCGCAATAGCGGAAACAACTAGGGACCCGACAATATTTTTTGAGCAAACATGAGACTTTCAATTTATTAAGCCATACAGCCTCTGATCATCTAAGCTGAATAGCTGCCTGGGAAAACTCAGGCAATTCTCCAAAACATTGGGCTATATTATCTGCAATCAACACCCCAGCTTGATGTTGAAAACCTCCGAGAAGAGAAGTTTTCCCTGCCACATCCTTGTGCAAAACGTATCATTTTTGTAGATCTGAAATAGACCTGTTTTGACAATGTTTCCCGTCGCCCAGTCGCAAGGACATGACATGGTAATAGATTGCAAAACATTTTGTTCAAGACACTTTGGTTCAAACACGTTAATGATGACTCATGACAATATGACTCACTGGGATATCATCATTGCAGGGATGGTTCCTGATTTCCTTAAACCGGATCAAACCAGTGGATACGAGGCACCAAGTTCAAGGAGGTGAGCCGTGGCGGAAGCTTTAAGCCTGCGTCATGGGTTCCAAACCCATTGGAATCGACTAACCAACAACATCCGCTGGTGGCCTGAGGAATTGAGTAACAGAAACGCTGGCGCTTCATGGAAATATGTAAGAAAATTGAATCTGCACGGCAGTTTCCGGTAAGAAAAACATTTTCCAAACCCAGCCTGCCGAGCCAAGGAAGAAATGTGTTCCATGGTTCTTTCTGTCATGGTGCTTCAATTTTAAACCTTCGACTACCTTCACCGGTTACCACCCTCCCATGCTTGGGGAGTGGGACGCAACCGACTCAAAAAAACACAAAAAGATACAGCCGATCCCAGAAACCAAAGCATGGCATTAGCATTGGATATGTCCCTCTTTCCACCCCGAAAGGATAGTTCATAAACAAGTAATGAAAGAAAATGAGCAATAAATCACACTTGAGGTTCTCAAAAATTCAACTTCTAGAAACCATAACTCATATCAAACCACATCATGAACCCATATTTGGCAGCTCAACTCTTGAGATGGATGTGTCCGAACTTATAAAATAGCGAGGGCCGGTATACCTCCCAACGGCAATTCCAATAAGGAAAATAATGCCCCTCAAGAATCAGATTTTATTTTGAGTGTTTATGTTTGCACCACTTTTTTGGCACGTTTGGATCAAAATTGACCGATTTTGAGCGTTTTGCTGACAAAATCACCCCAACATAACAATTTCATTGATGATATGATTGGTGCGATGCTTCAATTTTCAAAGTAGGCTTAACCGCTACTGGATCTTGCACGTTTTATACAACATACCCCATCAATCTTGGAGATTTCACCCCGTTTTGCCCATAGACTGCAAATATTTGAAAATTACAAACATGCACTTTTTGGAATTGAGTTTGATTGGTGATGTTTGAGTCCGTTTGAGGGTTTTTTTTGAGTCCGTTTTGATCAAAAAACTGGCCGTGTTTTTTTCTCAACATTTGGGCGGCAACAACTCTCTAATTGTTCATTTTTTTGTTGGATGGCCGAGGTCAATTTTTCTGTTACCCCAGGTTAATGATTCAGTCTTGGGGAACTTCTCGGGAAATCGGCCGTATGTTTGATGGTTACAAAATGTTCTAATTTAACACCAATGAAAACATGAAAAGTGGTCGCTTTGGGTCAAAGGTTTTTTTAAATTAGCGACACCATGGAAAACTAAGCAACAGCCTAAACAAACAATTTATTTTGAGCGTTTGAGGGTCCAGGTAAGCAATGGATCTGATCATAATCATAGCCAATTTTTGGACAAATCCAGACCTAGATAGTTAAAAAACTCAGACCTAGATTCTAGATAGTTAAAATTGTTTGCAACAAGATTAACTATGCTGTGGTGGTAGACATATCGAACTAGTTTTAATGGGGTTTCCCCAGTCACGGCGAGGCCCGCCAGCTATAGTTAACTAGAGTTAAGTGATATTCCACATAAAAACCAAAGATGTGGGCGAACAAGGTTTGATTTGGTGAAATATCAACATTTACTAACATATGATATACCATATGTAATATACATCTATATACCCTATTTATAGCGATAAACCAGTAACATAACTCAACCATATAACCAAGTCAGACGTGCGGTGACGAACACGAACCGACCTTTCAAGCCGTCGACTCCAAGTTCCTCAGCGAAATGCGGTAAATGGCATGGCGAAATGTCTGCCTATCTCAATTACCCTCTGGCAATTTACATAGCTATTGAACATGGCCCATTTATAGTTGATTTACCCATTCATTAAAGTGGTGTTTCCATAGCTATGTTAGTCTCTACCCAAGGGTAATGGTTCAATATGGTTTAACCATTATCCATCAGTCATTAATCAATAAACCACATTAAACAATATTAATGGCTGGTTTTATCTCAATAAGATAAAAGGCTCGTGGTTATGGACTAATGGTTAAAGAAAGGCTTATTGATGAATGACTGCTGGATAATGGTTAATGGTCAATGACCAATGGTTGGTGGCTATTGGTTAGTATAGATGATGGTTATACTAGTGATTATTGTTTGGTTAATGGATCTATTGACTGTTATTGGTTAATGAAAATAGTGGACAATGGTTTTATCATTTATGGGTGGCTGTATGCCACTTAATAGGGCGGTTATAGCTAGTAGGCAACCGCCGCTGATGGCAAAAGATTGATCATACCAAAGTAATTAGTGACGTACCCAACGGTGGAAAAGTCCTGTGTCAAAGCCACAAATGTTCGTTGTGCCTTTGTGTTGATAATAATGATGCCCCAAAGAAACAATAAATACTTTCTCGGGCTGAATGTGTTACTCTGTGCTCCGCGAAGCGAAGGGTAAATCAGATATGGCCTATGTTTGAGCTTGCCGCATAATAACATATAACCAACACATATGATTTGGTTCTTTAGCGTTGATTCGGGAAAATCTGCTGACGGGTCGTTTCAGCCCATCACCATGATGTTTGGCCACCTGCATGGAGACCATTTTTTCCTGCTAACCATCGGAACATCTGCGAGAAACCATGGTCTCATGCTCCGAATCTATTGTGTTTCATGCCAGTCTTCCTTCACATGGCCTTAGCCATTTGTGGTAAGCGGGGATAATTCTACAGGAAACGAATCCAGTAATCCAAATGTCGAAGCTTTCCTGCGCAACCTTCCCTCATATTTCCCAGAAACCGCTTCTCTATCGGATGTTTCCTGTGTGATTCCATCATCAAGTCCCTTGGTAAATGCGGGATCATTGCAAGAAATACTGCGCGGGAACCACTTCTGTGAAGTGGGGGGTCATCAAGACCATCGGGCCCGCAGTAATTCCAAATTTACTTCCCTGGAACATATTCACAAACTATAAAGATCCATAAGCCATATACATTGAGCATATTTTAAAATAGATATAAACATGTATCATATACAGATTTGTCTGAAAAATAAGGTATCATAAGGTGCTTTGAAAAGAATGAAGGAGATGGTTTATCACACAAGTCCGAACATTGCCCAGGTGCACATTTTGCCAGGTCCAATCGTAGTGTCTGAAGGCCATCAGGCCTGGGAATGGTGGTAAAATCTATGGTCTTTAGATGATTTTCTTTTTGAATATGGTGATGCTTGCTAAAGCTTCAACAGTTCAATAGAATATGGTGATGTTCCAGTTCCATTAGAAATGTATATTATATATAATCATAAAAAATCATCTATGGAAAGATGGTTTGCCACAAGGTCTTTCCCCAGATTGTTAGCTAAGTTGTTTTAGAACGAGGCTAACGATTGGGCGTGTGGTGGACATATCCAACTAGTTATATAACGCAGGGTTATAATGCAACTTAGAACTGGGGGGAGCACCACAGTGCCAAGTGATATTGCAAAAGAAATTTTGGTGTGAACTATGTTGGTGAAAGTTGGTGTGGAATTTGTTTACAGATGATTTCCTGGATCTCAAGTTGTTTGAACCGGCTGACTAATTTCAAGAGTCTACAGGAGAGTAATTAGTATTTGAACCAAGGGAAATATAGTCCTTGATCAATCTACCAAACCAACATCTACCCTAAAACATAATTCCACAACAAATCTGTAGCATACGCTACTATGTTACATCATGTTCAAGATTCTGGTGTATTATATGGCCTATATATTAATATTAAACATTATTAATATCAAATTGTATGAGAAACGACTGGGTGGACCGTTCGGCTGGTTTGATTTTTTGTAATTGGAATCTTCCTGTCTGAGAAGGTGTATCTAAAAAAAAATCTAACGGGAACGCTCCCCCATCACTGACAACTGGGGAGAATAGTTCCAATCATTGGCTGGTGAACAACGCATCTGCGTTATTCACAGGCCAAGGAATGGAAGTAGACCGCCCTAATCATTGATTTAATCAGAAGACTTCAGCTTCACTAGATGTTCTGAAATCTTGTACAATGACAGTGGCATTTTAATTATTGCTTACCCAAACATGTAAACCTAAACGTGACAAGATGCGATGAAAACAACTACTAGTGCAAGCTGCTGGTTACGTTTGCACACAGAAACATTCCGCAACCACCTTGGTGTTCCATGCGGTGATTCACAGCATGTAAAAGGCGGCTGCAGTTGGATTTCACGCATTCATTTTGACAGCTCAGTTGTGTCCACAAGCTTGGCGAAGGTGCGGAACAAGGGCTGGGTGCTTCATTTCGATTGATGATGGTACATGTGACAGTGAAATAAAACAGATTGTAGTTTTAAGATAAACCTAAACTTCAGTTTTAATATTTTAGAAAACATGTAACATGTAGCAAAATCTGGCATCCTTGATTGAATTTGCGAAACACAAGCTGGAAAAATGGAGAGGAAGGTGTGGATTGGCAAATGGTTACAGGCAGTGATGGAAAAAACCGTGTGGGACAAACCCCCAATTCAAATGTGATCCGCTTCTAGGTTATTATTGTGGTATTTGAAATGGTATTTGACGAAAACTGCAAAGTATGTGGTACTGAAGTTGACTTACGCATCAATGCCTAGCTCCGGATGCCCCTTATCCTGAAATAATGTATTTTTACCGGTGTTTTCTTTCAAATTTAATTCAAATGCAGCTCAAATTTTCTTAGGCGAAATTTGAATGAAATTTGAGTGAAAACCCAAGGCAAAAGCGCAAGTTTTGAGATCCTTCAGTGCCACATCCTTCCAGTAGAGCGGTGCTGTTCTTGGGGTTGAATTGAAGCCTGACCTGCCACACTCAATGCATGGATCTTTGGGCCCCAGCGCAACACCAATGAAAGTGAGCCAACCCAAGCGCAATGCAGAACCATCTCTCTGACCAGGCCGACGCCATAAGCAAAATTTTCCCTCAGGCCTCGGGCGCTGGGTGTGGCACTGGGAGTGGCCTAAACCGCTGGATTTGATTGGTCGCGGTCTTTCAGCTCGGAGTAACAGGCATAGTTCAGATCAATGCCCAGCCCCACACGCTGGTTGAAGTCGACGAAGAACTGCTCAGGGGGGTGAAGGGGTTTGGTGGGTGGGTTTCCTTACTATATCAAAATATTTTATCAAATGTATTTCATTCAAACATATCAAATATTTTGCAAAATCTACATGAATAAAAGGGGGAAGCCTGAAAGTGCGAAGCGCTGACAATATTTATGTCAGTTTTGTTTGATGAATGGACCTTGGAAATCAAAACTACCCATCTGGGGAAACGCGTGAGTGATGGAACCTCGGAACCTTGAAACCAAACAAATGGAGGGTACCCCAATTAGAAAAAAATACGTTTATGCCCATCAAGTTGATGGGATTTCTTCCCATGAAAATTGCTTGGTTCTGAATATATAATCTTAATGGGCCTGGGGTTAGTTTTGATGACATGGGGACTACTTATGTATGATTGATTAATGGAGTTTTTGTTTTTTTGCAAACCGATCTTTTTCGCCTCCCCCTGTGGGCTGCACAACCAACTCCTTAAATACATTCTTCCAGGGTCAGCGGCAGGGGCGGCAACCCAGCATGTTTCATTTCATCATGTGTCATCATATGTCATCCGTTTATCATCAATGTTCAAATTTTGGTCATTGTTGTTTAAAAAACAGTCACATTTCATGATTTTCTCATTGTTTTCATCCTGCCATTGTTTTCTCTATGGTTTGCATCCTAGTTTATATGTATCACAATTTTCCGTCATTATGTGGTTTTATTTATAGTGTTTATTCACTTTTGCCTCCTCAATTCTCATCATGTCGTCAGTGTTTGTTTACATCGTGTTCATCACGTTCCATCATTTTTCTCATCAATGTTTATCATGTCCTCGTTGTTTTTTACTGTGTTTATCACTGTTCATCAGTTGTCTCATCCACTTTCATCATTGTGCCATGGCTTTTTTACTTCTAATGTTCATTGATGTTCATGTTTTCATCAAATCTCATCAATGTTCATTGCTGTTCGAACTTTACTATATCTTTAAATTAGTATATATAACCAATCCACCTTTTAAGCATCTGAGCCACTGGAAGGCGTGGACGGGCGGATGGCCAAGAACTTTAACATATATCAAATCTTATACTTAACCCATCTTTTAAGTAGCAAAATGTCAAAAAAGCCAAGAAAACAAAAAACGTCCGAAACGTCCACCCAGAAGATTATGTCATTGTCACACACACATGTATATATATATATATATATAGACACATAGACCGATTTAAACTTATAGGTATGATATTACACTACATTATCTAAATATACCACATCATATTGTCGCATGTTTGTGATATCACATCGCATTATCTGATATTATGCCATATAATATTGTGTTTCCTATTTTTTCGTCTGTTTGTGATATTGAATCATATATTGATTCATTTGATGTTAAGTCCTGAATCAGATCATGTCGTTTGATATTAGTTAAATCAAGTAAAAACATATATTTATACGTACTCTTGCATTGTATTATACGAGGTTCTATGAAGATACATATCCGCATGACCAAGCAAAAGACATTCCTGCGAATTCTCTCAGGGCTCCGTGCAAACTCAAGGCCTGAAGTCCATGGGATGCAATGGTCGCAGAAAACGGCGGGGAATCCACAGTTACTGTGGGCTGATTTTATTGCAGCGGGGTTATAAACATGCTATAAAACAATTATTTCATGGTTTTTGTATGGTTACTGTTTGGTTGCTGCATACTGGAATTTCAGCCGGGAGTCATCCGCGCTGTACCACTAGAATCACTAGAACCACTAGAACCTGAGAATCACTCATCTTTTAATGAAGGTATTCTTCAAACCCCCAACTCATGGCAGGGTCTACGATAGTATGGAGGATGGCCAAACCTGCTAAGTGAGCTTCAAACAGGCCGGTTGGACTCTTTGCACCGCTTCTCGGGTCTCAAAATGATCCAGATATACTGTGGTAAATCCAATATTAAATGATTATATAATTAAAAGCGATCTCCAGTGACTCACCAAACATGGTAAAAACCTTCTACATATAATAACCATTGGGTTATCATTGGGTTTACCACGTTTTCTTTCCGGAACATCGACCTTGGGTCAGAAGCCCCCGTGCGTCGCAAAGCCTTTCATTAAAGAGACGGCAAAAACCAGCGATTGGTGGTCGAAAATCAAGCCCAAATATTGTTCGCACTTCTTGTCATAAATCTTGAGTATGTCATATAGAAATTCATGCTGATTTATGGATCATTAAATGTTATGAACCCAATATTAAACCATCCCCAATATTGGCATGAATGGTTGTCAAAATGTGCTTATTTCAGCAATTCGTAGATTTTGTCAGGTTAAAGTTCCTGGATTGATCTTATTCGCCAAAATTGTCTTGCCAAGCAGATTCTAACAGTCGTCAAACAGTGGTCACGGCTCACATCGGGTAGATCATTGATCATATAGCACGTAAGAGTATATAATTATATAAATATAATTTATAATTATATATAATTATGTATGTACACATATCTTATTTTACATACTTGAGGGCAAAGGGCGTGTTTGCAACATTTTTCAAATCTATACGACCACCATTCAGCAAAGAAACTATAGAAAAAAATGTTGAATTCGTGGCACTGACCCTTGTCAGCGAGCCCTATCTGACACTGAAGCTCGACTGGGGATTGGACACCCATCATGTCCTAGGTAGTTCAATGGGGGTTATATATCCCTCTATTGAACCAAAAAACTTGCGGGAAAGGGGTAATCCATGGAAATCCATGGGGTGGATATAAAAGCAATGAAATCTCCCCAGTTCAACTCATTTAATCCCCAGCGCCTAATATTTAATAATCGCTTTTGCAATCACAGGGATTCAAGCACCCTCCCCACAGGCGACCTCTGCAACAATAGATCGTCAATAAGCCCTTACTAGATCTTTCTAGCGTTTGGTGGTGGTGGAAAACCCGTATCACAAGGCCGTATTGAAGCCTCATTGTTTGAGCGCCTTGCTTGGCCTATCTCTTAACATGCCCTCGAATTGAAGCTGAATCGCTGCGAGACCAAGCTTTCAATCCCTATCTGCCTGAATGTGCAAAATAAATTGATGTTGTGCGGCTTGAAGCTCCAGTCAAATGACTCCAAGATGGTCTATATCATATCAAATAATAATAATATATATATACTATATACAATGATACAACACACATAATAAATAGCAAAATAATATATATATATACTATATACAATGATACAACACACATAATAAATAGCAAAATAATATATATATGTACTATATATATATAATTTAAAAATATAGATAATATGTTTATATATATATATATATCTATATACAACTATGATGCATACATATATAGATATCCAAAATAAAATCAATATTATATACTATAAAATATATGACATATAATTTTTAATTTAAGATAAATATGAGAACATATATAATATTCGCCGTTGAAAATGGAAGGGCCACGCTTCTTGCATGCTACTACAACGCTTGCGCGGGCGGATGGTGATCCATGCTACTACTGCTGCTGTCTGCTGATTCAGGTCTGAAGCAGGACCAACGAAGAAAAACAACCACGGAGTTGGGAAAGGACCCACCGGATCAAAACCCGAAAACAGAAGCGCACTAATAAACAACAACAAATCTAGTATATAAATTAAACACTGAATAAATAAAAAATATATAATATGATATGGTATGATATAGTATACAAATCGCAATAAACTGTTATAGAACAAATATGTATATATATATAATATATGGAATGTTTCCAAAAAAAATGTTCAGTAGAAATTGGCTCAAAATTTGAAACCCCACTGCCACTATAGTTATTTACCAAGCTTGGTATTTGAAACCCTCAAACGATTCGCAGTCAAGTTCAGCGATGGCAAGTGGTGTGACATGACCACTGAAAAGCACACCGCGTGTCGCAGTGATTTTCTGACGGTCGGGTGCAACGTAACCAGCAGTGCTCGTGCACTGTCCCCTTTGGCAATCAAAAATGCAATGGGGCATCCCCTATAAATGATTACGAAGTACGAATGGAGGTTTCAAGAGAAATTCATGTGCACAAATTACCAAAGAGGTACATGCATCTTTTGCTGTGGTTGAAGAACATCCGGGCAAATGACACTTCCAAGACCAGAATGTTGAACACGTTTGGCGTTGTATATATTTGTGTTTTTTGTGGCCTGGTCGGAGAATAAAATGGCAACCAAAAATAACCCGGAACAAACTAAGGGCCACCCTGGCAACCACTTAAGGGAGCGCACCCGTTTTTTGGGTTGCATCCCCAGTTGCAGTTATTGCTTCAGCAATCACTAAATCACAATTTTTGGGTTTATAATGGCTCATATCCACCTCCATCCATCTCTAACATTCTGGAACCATCTATATAAACCATCGTTGAAATTTCACATTGATCGAAACCAACCATAACCAGCCCACGAAATGAGGCATCCCTGGGCCCATCGCATGTCCTTCCGTTTTTTTCATATCAGAAACTTTGCTGACGATCACTCATCACTTCCTTGCAGAGGAAACAGCCACTGCAAACTAAGGGTGTTGGGCGAAAAAATCACGCACAATCCATGCATTGTCGCAGGAAGTTTAGAAGTCAAACTTCCGACAATATGGACAGATGAAAAGCAGAGGTGGAGCAGAGGAATGAAGAAGAGAAGAGCAGAAGAGAGAAGATCAGAGAAGAGAAAGAATCAAAGAAAGAAGATGCAGGTGCGCGAAAAGCTGGGCAAGTCGCGAAACACTGTGTCATTCCAATGATTTGTGGCTCCAGAGGGTCGGAAAGTAGGCTCGCTAAAGCGGCGGGTGCGGAGCCAGCAGCTGGCCAGATGAGAGATGAAAAATTGCACGCCGTTGTGGCGCGAAGCACATTTCCAAGTCAAAATGTACAAAGCACCTCAGCTCCGGACTTTGGAAGTTGAGATGTCAAAAGTGCACGCCGTTGTGGCGCGAAGCACATTTCGAAGTCAAAATGTTAAAAACATTTAAAAACACAACATGTTCGCGCCACTTTTGGACGTTCAGATGTCGTTTCGCGTGGCAGGCACAAGGGATTGTGGACCTTGTCAAAAGTGAGCAAAACGTAAGGGTTTTGTAGAATTTCCAAAAACGATGGCAGGCGTGGGACATTTGAAGGGGATCTGCACAGATGCATTTTCCGTGGCAGGCGCAGTACAGGAGATGTGTTCATCAGAGCTGTTAGGAGGTCCGGGCGCTGATTTCCTGAGAAGGGTTGCATTTTGGAGCTTCAAATTTTCAGGTTTGCTGAGATGATTTTGCATGACAGGTGCAGCACTTCGTATGACCTGGCATCACTTTGTCGTGGCAGGCGCAGTAGTTTAGACAAATGGACTGGAACAATCGCAAAACGCATTGGTACGAGGCCGTCAGCTCTGCACTCAACTTTCCATTTTTGAAGGACATCTCGCAGAATTGCTTCGTTTTTGATGTTCTCAACTTAAACAAAAATAGGAAGTCTCGCAGAATTTCTTCATTTTTGATGTTTCAAGTGCAAAAATTGAGGACGTCTCGCTGAATTGCTGCGTTTTTGATGTTGTCAAGTACTGAGGAAGTCTGGCAGAATAGTTTCGTTTTCAAGCTTGCTGATAGATAGACAGACAGACAGACAGACAGACAGAGAGACAGAGAGACAGAGAGACAGAGAGAGAGAGAGAGAGAGAGATAGATGGATGGATAGATGGATAGATGGATAGATGGATAGATGGATGGATGGATGGATGGATAGATAGATAGGTAGATAGATAGATAGACAGACAGATAGATATAGATAGATAGGTAGGTAGATAGGTAGGTAGGTATATAGTCAGAGAAAGAGAAAGAAAGTGAGAGAAAGAGAAGAGACCTCAACCACCTGTCGTTCCATCAGTGCCTTCGCTCTGCCATCCGTGACTCACAACAACCAACCTCTGCTATAGGTTTCCTATTTTTGAGACTTTTGCCACCGCCTTGTGCGGTACCACTGGTAAAATGAGATCAGATATGTCCAAACATGCCCCTCTTTGAGTACTCCCCAAATAAATCCCGTTTAGCATCGCAAATTTTGGATCTATTCATTTTGGGGGTCCATAGATGGGAATTAAATATTGAGGGGCTGGGATGACATTTTGGAATCTGCCAAATATGGTAACTTAGTTTCCCCTTGCAACTTCAGAAGCCTTCGTGATTTGCTAACTGTTAATGTTTGTCCAAAACGGAAAGCGTGTGGGTATGACAGAAACTGGAGCATTCCAAACAAGTGTGATTTTGATTAGGAAAATTATGATTCATCATGAATAATTATTCATGAATAACCATTGGGTTTTGGGGCAATTACCTAAATTGAAACAACCCCAGCCCTTTCCAGCGACTCCTTGCTGTTGGTGATCAAATTGATGTGCTTTTGTCAACTGCATCCCCTGTTTCGTTAGATGTCCATGTCAAATGCTTGCAGCATCTTGCAGCCCAGTAGTAAACCGTCTCCCATTTCCCCAGTGAAAAACAAGTTGTTTTTGCACATTCCCGAAATGGAAGGCTCATTGTTGGGTTTGCCACAGTGCCCGCAAATTTATGGCTGGTCAAAATGACTAGCTTGCCAGCAACCTGGATAGATCATAATCATACTTCAACTAATGTGGGTAAACAATGCCATAAAATGCCATAAACCATCCCCGAGTCATCACCATCTTTATAGGTGGCATGGTTACCATTCTCAGTCATGGGTGGTTGATGACATTGTTTTTCCATGGTTTTTCCCACATTAGCTGTACTCTCCCGAAAACGAACAGTTTACAAACATATTAATCGTTACAACAACAAAAAATGGTTCCATGTTCGCGCACCAATGTTAAAATTCATGAGCGGGATAAGTGGCAGGTAGGTGCCATGTTGGTGCTGGTGAATTTGGATATTTTCGGACACTGTTTGGCTGCTTGTCATACTAACATAGAACCCCACAAGCTGCCATTGAGTGCTCATCCAAAAGTTCCATGTTAGCCATGGCGGCTGACAAGGGGAATTCGGAATCATTATTCCCCTTATGGTGATTGATGGATGCAAAATGCTACATAATAACTCTTTTGCCTCAATAAGGCATTTTGTCCAAGATGAATTCCAAAGCACAAATTCTGAAGACAAATTTAAACACATACATTCCAAAGCACAAATTCTGAAGACAAATTTAAACACATACAGTACATGTCAAGAACACACACACACAATACATATCCTCAAGTCAACAACACATCTTAAAAACACATCGAAAACATATTCAACACATAAAGAGCAAACAAAAACGTATGATAATTCAATATATATATATATTAGTTTTCTATTTTCAAACAAGGTCTACAAGTAGCTGCTTCCCATTTACCCACCATAAACGTGACATTTCTCATTTTCTCGGTGTGGCCTTCCCGTTGTGTTACCCCCGTTGTTACCCCGTTGTGGCTTTCCCCGGTGGAGCTGGGCACCATGGACGTCAGGTTTTCTGCCGGTTGCAGCTTACTTTGGAAGGTTGTGCGACGAACACGGAACCCAACACATATCGAAAAATAAGTCACGGCCGACTTCTTGGAGGTGTTTTGGTTTCAGCTCTTTCCCCCCACAGACCTGGAACCTGAATAGTTTTTTTTTAAATGTGAGCACAATACGAAGTGAAAAGTAGGGTCGCCCGAAAGTCACAAACATGGTATTTGCAAGAACCGCGCCTTCAAAACCACTTGGGTTCAAGGTTAAACTTCAAATCACCCTTCAATGTTGCAGATCGCTTTGTGATGACTTGTTCAGATTCATTCAAATTCCATGTTGGCTGTTTCAGGGTGCAGTTTGGGTTCAGTTTGGGCCTTCATTGGGTTCCATGTCAGTTTTGGAGTGATTTTATCTAAAAAATAGTTTGTTGCATGCACTTGAGACCGTGCCATAGGTTCATGTTAGGGGACCTCAGGTATATTTTTGCTCATGTTAGTGGACCTCAGGAATAGCATGCAGTTCCATGTTAGATTTGGGGTAACTGTTGAGCTGCTCACCTTCACCGCCACCTGCTTGATGTCGCCTCATAGCGGCGCAAAGTGGTGCTCGCAGCGGCGGGTGGCTGGTTTCAACTGACACATCGAGGGTTTGATGGGCAAACATAACAAGTGACCTATATATATATGTGTATGTATATGTATGTATATATATAGATATATATATATATATATATAGATATATGCGTATAATATACATACATACTGACAAACACTAACAAACATGCACTATCATACACTATCATACACTGAGAACATCATGTGTTCAATTGCAGAAACATATTTTAGAACATGACCAGACTGTGTATGACAACCATAAAGGACTGGCTAAGAATCTGTTGCTTGGTGGTTGCAACCCTCTGACAAATCAATGCGCGAAATCATTCCATCTTGGTGATGGAACAACGCATGGTAGCCATGGGCCGTGCTAAGCAAGACTTAGGAACCCTGCCTTTTATCAATGTAATTAACTAGATAATGTTCTTGCAAAACGATGTCTCGTCCAAACAATATGCTGCTTAAGTCATGTTCGGGACGTTTCGCTGGCTATCTCAGAGTCCGAGTCCGCCCGTGGCAGTCCATTCTGCATTTTGCCAGGTTTCATCTTCAAAGTTTATGTTCAAAATTGGCACATGTGCAGGTTTCCTACAGTTTTGGGGATCCCCCATCTGAAGAAACCCATAGAAACAGCAAAGAAATGGTCCCAATAACTACCCAAGTTCCCCACGGTGTCGAGCGCCTGAGGACACGATCCGTGCCAGGATGTGCCTGTCCCAAATGAGGCGAATACCTGCAGAAGAATGGACACCAAAACTACGTATAAAGCCAATATACTAAACATTACTAAACCGGGGTTTCTGGAGGTATTGTAAGGGATTTAAGGCTCTTCAGTGGGAACTGAGAGGCAGTCCCACATTGGAATCACATGGACATGAACATTGAGAACTTCCAGATATTTGAACTGTCTGCAGCTTGTTTCCTGGGCAAAACCCAGATTTTGTAGATCCATATGCTGTGTTCTTGTGACCGCATCGATGGGAACAACGCCCCTTTTTGGGGTATTCCAGCAACTTCGCCACGCCGAGAGACGCGCTTCATTCCTGTGCCAATTTTGGGGGATTGCCCGGCCATGTTTGAGGACGGGGTGCACTTACCCGATTAAAAACATCAGTTGTGAAGAGGTTGTATGTACCAAAATCAACATCCATTTTTTGTCTGGATATCTGCAAACTCTATAGTCTATATACATACATACACACACACATACACACACATATTATATATATATATCATACAATATCTAATTGTCAGTCAAGAATCTTGAAACCAACTGCCGCACCGCTGCTGAAACAACAAAATGTAAATACCCACTATCAAATGGGCTATGTGATAGCCATTGGTAGCCACTATCAAATATGATGACTCTGACATTGCTATATCAAACCCTTCAAATTTGGTGCCAAACTCACTGGTGGGACAGATCAGGAGTGACTATGACAGATCCCATTTATCTTCCAACATCCAACCCATCGAATCATCTAATCAGTGACCATCAACTGATATTTATACCTGCGCTCCAAAAATGCAAATTGGCATTCAAAAAATCCCAATTGGTGCACATGATGTTCTTCCTCTGAATAGGGCTCTCCATGGACTTGTTTGTTGAAATGCCCATACAACCAGTTCCACTTGATACAATCTGGCATGACATGTATGATTCTTAGCTAAATACCAATCGAGATGGCACATCAACCAAAAGTATACAACTAGACATGTTCTTCAATATCATTTAAAAAACTTAGTATGAAAATTATTGACTATTCATAAGATATATCTATGGATTATTAGTACCATGATCTCTGGATATCTTACTGGTAATCTCAACGGCTTCTTGGTGAATGCCACATCTTCAGGTGATGAAACCTGGCAATTGATTTCTGAAGAAACTTCAGTATGTTCATTACACCAAAGCATATACATATATCCTATCAATCCCATATATCTGTTGGTTAAATACACAGTTTTCTTTGTCGGTCAACTGGCCACTTTCATGGACCATAAATCATCTTGGATTCTCTGGATGAATCTGGAATCTGAAGGCACATTTTCCATAGCAAACTGCTAAATCACTACAGGGTAATGATATAATTTCCGGTATAAGGTTAAAGGCTGTTATACCCAGGGTTATAGTCATAAAATAGTTATAACATGTGAAATGTTAATATGTCACCATTTCAAATCTATAATAGTTGGTTGTTGTTTAACCCAATGATGCAACACATTATAGTTGGTTCATATCCCCATGACACCCCCATTTCTCCAACCTGGAGATCTTCATGGGTCAAATCCATCATCCAACATATGGATTTGGGCCTGTAAACCCGACAGAAATCACATGTATAAATCACCGAAAAAATTGGATTAGGGCTACAATTTCCATATAAATCCCAGAATCACCAAACAATCGGGATTTTGGTTTATAATTATAAATACCACACACCGACCCTTTTTTCGACCCCACACGAATCCTACAGAAAAATCATAAAAATCCCGCACACACCACATAAATTCCATCAAAATCCCATATGTCTGGCTGATTTCAGCAATGTTTTCCCTCCAAGCGGCACAGGCCGTTGGGGTAAGCACGACAAGACCACCGCCAGCTGCGCGAGGAGATTGCCCAGTAGCAGCCCAGCGATGGGTATCAGGATCAAACAGGCAACGCTGTGCGCCTGGAAAGAAAAGAGCTACGTTTACTCGCAAAAAACGGTGATTTGATGGTGATTTCATGGTGATTAAGATAAACATTTGAGGCCGGGGGTGGATGACGAAAGCTAGCGGGGTAGGAGAAAGAAGGAAGGGAAGAGGTGAGTTGCGGAGGGACTGTCGTCATCGTGTCGCGGCATTGTTCGTCCCAACGAGGATGCAACAATGATATATTGATATGTGATATATAACAATGATATATATGGGGGAGGGGGCCAGGGGGCAGGGGGGGGCCCTTTCGCGGGAAAAATCACGTGATGTCCTTGGGGAGCCCCGGAATACGTGCTAAAGCAAGAAGACTCTAGCGAGCTGACGCTAGCTTTCGTGATAATGACAATAATTGCCAATAATGATAAAATGTAATTGAATAACGATGATGATGATGATGATGATGATGATGATGAATGATGAATGATGAATGATGAATGATGAATGATGAATGATGAATGATGATGATGATGATGATGATGACGAGGACGAGGACGAGGACGATGGAGAGGACGATGACGATGATGATGATGATGACGATGATGATGACGATGATGATGATGATGATGGTGGTGATGGTGGTGATGGTGGTGGTGGTGGTGGGTGAGGGGGGGGGGCCCTTTCGCGTGAAAAATCGCGTGTTGTCCTTGAGCAGCCCCCCCAATACTTGCTAAAGCAAGAAGACTCCAGCTAGCTGACGCTAGCTTTCGTGATTTCGATTTTCTCGTGATTTTAGATCTGCTGAAGTCACCAATCTATGATCTACAAGTTGCAGTCCGATAGAAAGAATTCAAGGCTAGTGGTGTCAACTCATATTTGCTAAATCAATTTCTTAGAGCCCCACTTTGAAGCAAACACAAGGACACAAAGAGTCCTGACATATCCTGAGATTCCGGCGATGGAGCGAGCTTGGCTCAAGATCCATACATACGAGTGTGCCTGGAAACCCGCTGAGCCCCTTTTAGAATTTAGGTGTCATCAGTTGTCAGTGTCAGCTCCATCACTAGCTGGAAACATGTCCTATACACATGCAGTTTTTTTTTGAAATGTTCTAACTAAATTTGCTGGGATTTTCCCATCTACATGGATTAGTAGGTAGTCCAGCAAGCCATGGAGCGGATGACACCGGCATCTTCATGAGGTCAGCATCGATTTTTGGCACAGCCATTGAGTCTTGAAATTCGACGCGCCAAGCGGGGGACCCTAGAATCTAGATAGCCAAGTTGGCTTATAATAACCATAGATCAACTATGGTTTATACATGTTTTTACTATTATATATATATACATATGATCATATATGTGTGTGTACTGTACATTTAATGGATGTTAATGAATATGAATAGAGTTTATAAATCCACTTAAAACTGGGAGGCGCCACCCTCTTATCTTCCCCAACTCACAGGTCGGTCATTCCGAACAAATCGCCGCCGCGGGCAGAGAGGGCCGCCGCGGGCCGCCACGGGCCGAGAGGCAAGGGGGCGAGTCAAAGCGAAGCAAAACAGCAAGGAGCAGACTTGGATCAGCAAACAAATCCGTCCCGGCACACTGGACCTTGGATCAGCACTGCATGGGGTTGAAACTTCAGCAAGGACTTGAAGAGGACACGACTGGGCCATTAAGAGACACACATCATGAACCTTTTGTTGGAAGTGATGTGCCTTCTGTGCTACATTTCGGAAGGGGGTGATTTTGAAAATAGTTTCATCGGTGACTTTGACTTGCTTTACCCAGTTCACTTGTATCATACCTAACATCCCCATCAACGATCATCAACGATCATCAACGATCATCAACGATCATCAACGATCATCAACGATCATCAACAATCATCAACAATCATCAGACTATGCTGTTGGCGACGATCACCTTGACCCCACTGGCAACCACTTTCATAATACTGTGGCCCTATACCATAGTACACACTTATCAGGTTATGCCCATCTAGATCCCTATGCAACATAACACAGCTCAGATTGCAATCTTACAACTACAATACCTTTCACTATCACTTCACCAGGTTTGTTGATAACTATGGCTAACTATGGCTACAATAATTACATATAATTACAATACAGTAATCTCACCAAGCCACAATTTCACCAGAGCTTCATTGGATAAATCTTCCTTCAAATATTGACCTGGCTTGGTCGAAAGGCAAGTGATTGGCTCAACTCCTCGGCCGGCCAACATGAGCTCCCCACAATTTGCCGCAGTTCGGAACATCCCATATCATCCTACACGTTCGAAAGATCCCAAGTCATCCTACCTGACCACAATCATCCACAAGTTGAGCCATCTGACACAGCACCAGGTGTTGCTGCTCAAACTTCATTTTTTCTTGGCATCCGTGAGTTTTTGCTGATGAAATCCCTCCCGGGCCACAGCCTCGTAGCAATTTGTGGTGGAAAATCCAAGAGTACAAATACAACACAGCCAGGACCTGTATGGCGCAGGATTTTCTTCTGTGCTAAAGGCTGTTGTTGCTGTTATGAGGATTCAACCAAACCCATATCAAACCAACAATAAACCAATAATGAACCAATAACGGGGGGTTATTGTCTGATTTATTGTCAATGATCCAAATGGTTACTGGTATTGGATCATGGGGATTTAACAAATCTCCAATCATGTGAGGGTTTATTGAAAGCAAAATTTCACTGCACTATTGGACGAATCTGCGCTATTTTGACTGGGACAGGGTTGGTTGGGGGGATGGTGAAAATCAACATGAAAATATATCCATAGTCGGTCCAGCCATACCGACTAGGAGTGTATTTGGGGGATGATTTGGGGGTGGCATAGGGATTATATACATATTTGGGTAAATCATCAGAATTCACTACCTGATTCAAAAACATGTTGTTCACTACCTGATTCAAAATTCATGTTGCGCTGGTCGTCTGCAGGCTGCCATATTTCACACAGGCTCGATTTATATTTGTGCATTATACATGTGTTAATATACAAGGCAATGGTTCATTCAAATATATACAATTCTCATATCAATAAATATTTACATATTTAATTATACATAAGACTCAACATCTTATTCTAAGTAAGATCAATCCTGCAAAAGCTTCACTTCTCATCACAAGGCCTGTCATCAACTGCAGACCCAAATGAACCCCTGGTGATTCTTCCGTTTAGGGTTCACAAATGCAATATAGGGGTCATGGAGGATTTAATTTGGGACGCGCATACATGTATATACATATATAATTATACATATTGTTAGATACACAACTATACCAACAGTAATAATTACATATGTACGTATCTATTAAACAAAAAAAACGCATATACAGTTTCATATCATATGTGTTTTCACCTTTTTCTGTACCACGATTCGAATTTACATTTGTTTGATGTCTACTATACAGGAGCGAGCACGTATACTCCGCAAATGTCTTGGCTAGTATGCATATTGAATGCGTGTGTGTGCGTATGGGTGTCTGTATTATATAACATTATGATATAACTATTGTTAACTTGTATTAACTGATAGCTTTGCCTACAAAACTGAGCCATTGTCAATCTTTGATAGTCCACGGACATATTTTGCGGTTTATGGTTATTTCAAAATTGATGGAAAAAAACTAAAGGATTAACTACCCATCACGCTGACAAGTGTCCAATGCAAAGACGCCGATCCAAGCATAGCTAAAGTCAAAGTCAACCCTAGGCAGCCGGCCGTTTCGCTTATGGATCGGCTTTGATGAAACCAAGGGATTTGAGACTGCAATTAGGGCTGTGCATACCATGGGGCTGTGCATCCAAGGGGTTTCAGCATTTTCCGGACCGCAGGATGATTGGATCCTCCTGGTGGCCTCACCCCCTGGATTCCCAGCATTCACTCCGCCAAACCATTGCAATGGTTGAAATCTCTACTGAACAATACAAATTACAGTTACGGCCGTTATGGCCTTTAACCCCATTTATAGAATGTATAATCCCATTTATAAGCAGTTATGACAAATATATAACAAATATATACATGGCCATAGGGAGCAAGGACGTACGTAACCACGATACTCAGCAGCGGTTTCGCAGGGAGAGATGCAGAAATGAAGGCTTGTCCTCTGTGTGTCCTCTTTGTCATCCCTCTGCCGCAATGTAGGCTGCTACATCCATAAGTGATGGTTTGAACTACAGTAACTACCCTCCAGTAAATTAATATAACATAGACCCTGCCAGATAGGGGTTGGAAGATTCATTTCCACTAAAAACTGGTGATCTTCAGGGTCTATCTGAATTTACAAGAAGGCAATATGTGTCGCAAAAGGCATTAGCTCCATATCATGTGAAAGAAACTGCCTGAAAGCCGGAGGTCAGCTGATTCTATGTGAGAACTACCCAGGCAATACCTCCGTATATAAAAGCCTTCCGCTGCTTGACTCATGAACTCCCACTTCCCCGTGGGAGAATCATCTTCCAAACTCATTACAGTACCATGATCAGAGGGATAACCCGATAGAAACATCAACATCAAGCCCTATGGGCTCAACTGGGTCAAGTGATCTGGGCAAATTCCCAACCACCATGATTAGTCCATTTATATATATCATCCATTAGGGGGGTCGGCCAGGCTGGCGATTTCCTAGAAACATTTGCCGTGGACACAGGACAAGATGCTGGAATCTATGAAACGTGGCTTGCACACCTGCGCGGGCAGAAACTGCAGAACATCACCAAAAAAAACTGGCTGAACAGGCACCTTTCACAGGCTGATTATGGTTGCTGCCATCAAGATATATAATCACCATTAATCACCATCATCCTGACACTAGTTCTGGTCATTGTGGCATCACCAACATCATCACCATCAGCAGCAACTCCTCAACCAGCTACACATCAAACTGATCATCAAACACGCTGCGGAAATGAACATCATTGGGTTGGCATAATTATAATTCCCAATCCCGAACCAAAATAAAATATTGGAATGATTTCCTCTCCTCATCAGTTATGGGGACTTTGTCGGCCTGTTTTATTACCCCATGATTTGCGAACATGTTTCAGTGCCCGCGCCTTCTATGACCCCGATGCAGGCCAGTGTTTCAAGCCGGACGATCACCATGTTTTCCAACATGTCACCTGATTCCACTGATGCCGGTGCTGAAAAGTGGTACTAGCTTCCAGGATCCCAGAGACACAGCCTTTATATAGGTCAGCAGGATGTCCACATAGATTCTGCTGTTTCCCGGTGCCAAATCCTTTCGGCCCACATTACAAAAAAAACATCACAAAACTTCCCATGGCCCATAACTTTATCTGCGTATGCAGCTCAACCATTTTTGAATCTTTGGGACGACAATCTCAATGAATCGTGGTTCACATTGCTGCGATCTCAACCCATGCCCAGCAGCGGTAGTTCTCAACAACGTAGGGTGTGAAAGGGAACCGAGTTGTGAGAAACTCCTGGATTCCTGAACAGCAGGGCCCAGCAAGGTCACCACATGCGCTGTGGTCGAATAACTGAAAATTTACACTCCCAAACCATGGTTCCGTCCTATGGTTGGTTTTTACCAGTAGTACCGCACAAGGCGGTGGCGGAAGTTTCAAAATAGGAAACCTATAGGAGAAGTTGGTTGTTGTGAATCAGGGATGGCAGAGCGAAGCCACTGATTGACCGAAAGGTGGTTGGAGTTGTGTTTGCTGGAATGGTTGCAATGGTTGCAGTGGTCACCTCACCCACAACTGCTGGATGTAGTGTGATGTACTGCAACTGTAGTTGTAGTTGTAGCGTAGTGGAGTTGTAGTTGTGGTGTAATGTAATTAGTGTAGTGTAGTTGCAGTCATATAGTTGTAGCTGTAGTTGTTGTGTGGTTGTAGTTGTAGTTGTTGTTGTAGTTGTTGTGTGGTTGTAGTTGTTGTGGTGTAGTAGTAGTAGTAGTAGTAGTAGTAGTAGTAGTAGTAGTAGTAGTAGTAGTAGTAGTAGTAGTAGTAGTAGTAGTAGTAGTAGAAGTAGTAGTAGTAGGAGTAGTAGTAGTAGTTGTTGTTGTTGTTGCTGTTGTTGTAGTTGTTCTTGTTCTTGTTGTTGTTGTTGTTGTTGTTGTAGCTGTAGTTGTTGTAGTTGTAGTTCTAGTTGTAGTTGTTGTGTAGTTGTAGTTGTAGTTGTAGTTGTAGTTGTAGTTGTTGTTGTTGCTGTTGTTGTTGTTGTAGTTGTTGTAGTTGTAGTTCTAGTTGTAGTTCTAGTTGTAGTTGTTGTAGTTGTAGTTGTAGTTGTAGTTGTTGTTGTTGCTGTTGTTGTTGTTGTTGCTGTTGTTGTAGTTGTTGTAGTTGTAGTTCTAGTTGTAGTTGTAGTTGTTGTGTCGTTGTTGTAGTTGTAGTTGTTGTAGTTGTAGTTGTTGTGGTTGGTGTGGTTGTTGTTGTTGTTGTTGCTGTTGCTGTTGCTGTTGCTGTTGTCGTCGAAGTTAGGGTAGTTAAGTTAGTGAAGTTAGTTAAGTTAGTCAAGTTAGTTAAGTTAAGCAGTGTCTACTTTTTCGACATCTTAACGTCAAAAAAGGCTCAAAACCCTCAGTTTTTTACACTTTTGACTTCGAAATGTGCTTCGCGCCACAACGGCGTGCACTTTTTCGACACTTTTTCGACATCTGAACCTCCAAAAGTGGTCCGAGACCGTGGTGTTTTGTACATTTTGACTTGGAAATGTGCTTCGCGCCACAACGGCGTGCACTTTTTCGACATCACAACTTCCAAAAGTGGTCCGGAGCTGAGGTGTTTTGTACATTTTGACTTGGAAATGTGCTTCGCGCCACAACGGCGTGCACTTTTTCGACATCTCAACTTCCAAAAGTGGTCCGACGCTGGGTGTTTTGTACATTTTGACTTGGAAATGTGCTTCGCGCCACAACGGCGTGCAATTTTTCATCTCTCATCTGGCCATCTGGCTCCGCACCCGCCGCTTTAGCGAGCCTACTTTTCGACCCTCCGGAGCCCCAAATCATTGGAAAAACACAGTGTTTCGCGACTTTCCTACCTTTTCGCGCATCTGCATCTTCTTTCTTCTGATCTTTTCTCTTCTGACTCTTTTCACCTCTGCTTTTCAACTGTCCATATTGTCGGAAGTTTCACTTCTAAACTTCCTTCGATTATATATATATATATGTATCTGTACAGTAATTGAAAATAAATAAGTAAATATATATATATAAATGTGTGAATATATATATATAATACATACATACATACATACATACATACATACATACATACATACATACATACATACATACATACATACATACATACATACATACATACATACCATTACACTACATTACATAACATAACATAACATAACATTACATACATACATACATTACATACATTACATTACATACATTACATTACATACATTACATTACATACATTACATTACATACATTACATTACATTACATTACATACATTACATTACATTACATACATTACTTTTCATACATTACATTACATTACATTACATACATTACATTACATTACATTACATTACATACATACATACATACATTACATACATACATTACATACATTACATACATTACATTACATACATTACATTACATACATTACATACATTACATTACATACATGCATACATACATACATACATAAATACATACATACATACGTACATTACATACATTACATACATTACATACATTACATACATTACATACATTACATACATTACATACATTGCATACATTACATACATACATACATACATGCATACATACATAGATACATACATACATACATGCATACATGCATGCATACATTACATTACATTACATTACATTACATTACATTACATTACATTAATACATACATACATACATTACATTACATTACATTACCTTACCTTACATTACATTACATTACATACATACATTACATACATACATTAATTACATTACATTACATACATTACATTACATTACATTGCATTGCATTGCATTGCATTGCATTACATTACATTACATTACATTACATACATTACATACATTACATAACATTACATACCATTGCATACATACATACATTACATACATTACATGCATTACATACATTACATACATTACATACATTACATACATTACATACATTACATGCATTACATATATTACATACATTACATACATTACATACATTACATACATTACATACATTACATACATTACATACATTACATACATTACATGCATTACATACATTACATACCTTACATACCTTACATACATACATACATTACATACATACATTACATTACATTACATTACATACATTACATTACATACATTACATACATTACATTACATACATACATACATACATACATACATACGTACATACATACATACATTCATACATACATACATTCATACATACATACATACATGCATGCATGCATACATACATACATACATTACATACATTCCATACATTCCATACATTACATACATTACATACATTACATACATTACATACATTACATACATTACATGCATTACATACATTACATACATTACATATATTACATACATTGAATACATTGAATACATTGAATACATTACATACATTACATACACTACATACACTACATACATTACATACATTGTATACATTACATACATTACATACATTACATACAATACATACATTGCATACATTACATACATACATACATGCATACATAGATACATACATACATACATACATGCATGCATACATACATACATTACATTACATTACATTACATTACATTGCATTACATTAATACATACATACATACATACATTACATTACATTACATTACATTTCATTACATTACATACATACATTCCATGCATACATTACATATATTACATTACATACATTACATTACATACATTACATTACATTACATTACATTACATTACATTACATTACATTACATACATAAATACATACATACGTACATACATACATACATACATACATACATACATTACATACATTACATGCATACATGCATACATGCATACATACATACATTGCATTACATTACATTACATTACATAACATTACATTACATTACATTACATTGCTCTGCGTTGCATAACATACATACATATATATATATATATTATGTGTATATATATATATATATGCCGCCTAAATATGCGTATATACAGTCATGAGATTAAAAGGCCCGGTATTTAGATAAGACAATCACCCAGAATCTGGGTTCAGGCTGATGAGTTATTGCCCCTCTCCCGGCTGTGTGGATGGTTTACGAGAACGACGCAGTGAGTTACGGGGTTTCCCGTGGCTTGGTTTTGCTGATAGAATTTGCCCGGAAGTATCCAGAAGGCAGGAGAACATGTTTCTTTATGGGCAAGGTGCCTTGTGAGACGTCGCAAGTTTCAAATGGAACAGTTTGTGTTTCCGCAATGGCAATGTTCAACACAAACATTTTCTTCCAAAACCATCTGCAACTAGCCTCCGCAATCCTTTCTAGTCCTTGAAAAAAGCAGGCTAGCCACAGATTGCGAATGGACTCGGGGTCACAGCTAAAACTAAGCACATACACCAACCGCTCACCTAGTATGTTTACCTACTCAAAATTTGATTCACATAGATTTCCTGGAAATGACAATGAAAACTGGCCATACCCGACCCAAGCCAGTTGCAAGGGATTCTGACCCATTGATGAACCAGTTACTTTACATCCAGGATCATTAGTACATGTAACTTTGGGGTTCTTTCTTGCACCATACGGTCCAAAATGATGAACCCCCGAGGCAAATGGGTGAATTCATACTGAAGTTACCCTTTGGTATTTGAACATACCTATGGAAAATTACTCATTTATAGATGATCTATATATTAAACTTAGCGATTGTCCAAAATTAACCATATATTATGTTAAAGAGGGTACTTCAACCTTCTACTTTTCAACAAGTCTTGTTGGCCCATTGGTAATCTGGTTCAACCCATTTCCCCATTTCGTTTAGCTTATGACCTCCTGCCAAAAAGAGGCTGTCTTCATCCATCTCTGCGCGGTACTTCTGGACCACCGCCTGCAACCTGCGCATGGGGATGCTCCATCCAGATCCCCAACGTTGGACACTTGGGAATTACCCTCTGGTTATTTAACATAGCCATGGAAAATGGACCGTTATCACCAACATAGCCATGGTATAGATGGCCCATTTAAAAGGCGGGTGTTTTTCCATTGCTATGTTAAATAACCCGATGGTATGCGATAATTCAATACAATCTATAACATGTTACAACATCAGGGGGGATGTTGTCAACAACAATCATTGTGTATCTGCAGTGCTGAGTGTGTTTTGTGGGGCACTGGTGCCTCAGCCATGTCCAATCCATGGTGATGTGAAGCCGTGGGTTAGTTGAAGCCGTGCAATAAAAATAGATACTGGTTGGTGGTTTCAGCCCCTCTGAAAAATATGAAAGTTAGTTGGGATGATGACATTCCGAACTGAATGGAACAATAAAACATGTTCCAAACCACCAACCAGAATATCTACGCAATATTTACCGGCATCTACTTCCCAAATCACCCAAATCACCCAAATGTAGATCAACAAAAACTATGGTATGGGGACAACATCAAATGGCAAGACGACCATCCAGTATCAATATAATAAAGGAATGCCTGGCAGCCTGCTGATGTGCTGCAAGCCCAAGTCCCCAAAGAAAATTATAAATCAACTGGGCAAACACAATGCCATAAACTGCCAGTTTTTTGCTTATGGCCAAGACAAACATAAAGTGAGTTAGACTTACCATCCCGGGATGTGAATAAAAACCTCGAAACCTCCAGCCAGCCTGACACTATTTGCATGTACATCCCAAGCATGACTCGTTCCCTTTGATGGGAGATCTTGAGCTCTATATATCATGGTATGCATATGTCAATGTAACATAACTGTCTATTATCTAAGTGTCTATCTACATCACATCTGTCAAAAAATAACTATGGGTATATACAATATATATATATATTTATTTACATATTTATACCAAAATGGCACATAACATACATACATGTGTGTGTGTATATATATATAAGTATATATATATATGTATATATACACCGGTTCCCGGTTCGGTAGCCCCTCCCTCCCTCCCCCAAAAATGGTCTGGTACCCCTGCCGCCCTCCCAAAATCCACCATTTGCATGCTATTTGCAGCATTTCAGAGTCACGGCCTCCCATTTGCTTTCAATTTGCTGCATTTCAAAGCCACAATCTCCGACTTGCATCCTATTTGCAGCATCTGAAAGCCATATGCTACCTACATACGACATACGTGCCGTTCATAGGATTATCTACAGTATATGTTTCTTTTCTACCTGGTATACCTATACACAAGCCAAGCCACAGCGTATCTACATACTGCTCATTAGTCGCCTATTATTGGTATATTACCTGTGTGGTATATCCATACATATATATATATACTACTACTGTACTTGTAGCGTAGCTATAAGACACGTACATAATGAATATAGATCATACACATATATACACACGATTATCTATAATATATACTCATATGCAACATCGAAAAACACCAGACCCCACAACCCGCCACCACAGGGGGGAGGAGGCAACCACATAAACTACCTAATCCAATATACCTATATATAGTGCACGAGCTAAAAAGATGTATAGCAACGACCCCCAAGCTACATATAGACTTTTTGTATCAAATATATACATACATATGTCTCATGAGTACTTCTACAATAGTGCAAATATATATAAAAATAAATTCTAACATATAATGCAATATACACATAGCGTGTGTGCTACATATACAACACGTACATACTGCCTATAGTTTATCTATCTATAGCTATAAGGTTGTATACGTGTATATAATATGTATATAATACATTACAATACATGTATAACCCACCTAGTTACTACTCATCTGGCGCTAACATCCACCACTCATCGCTTATTCCTTCTACTTCATGTTTACCTTCCCCACCCACCCACCCTCACCACAGGGGGGAGAGGGGTACCATGGGGCCCAGAACCTGGAACACACACACACACACACATATATATATAATACATATTATATATATTTATTACTTATATTACAGTATATGCACATGGGGTCTGATCCAAGTATCCCACAGAAACCAACAAGTAGAGCTGGCCCCCTTGCCATGCGCATGCCACGCGCAGCCGAGCGGCTTAGTGTCGAGGCGGTCCTCATTTTCTTCAGCGATGGGGGAGGAATCTATTGAATCTACCTGGATGTACCAAGGTCTCGTAAGCGGATAGCAATCTACAACTGGTTAAATCCTACACAAATGCTGGCATGAACAAAGCACCAAGAATTTCGTCTCTAGCTGGTCAAGCTCACATATCCCCACTATTTCCAATTTGTAGGACACAATTATATAACTAGTCCTAGGTTTGCCAAGGCTGTTCTCCGCAAGTCGGAGAGGCAAGCCGAAGGAAGCTGACTTAATTGGGAAGTCATCAAAGTTGCCGAAACTTGGATCTGCCAGCGATGCAAGGGACCCCCTTGTTGGTGGAATGTACGGGGACCCTTTTGATGGGACTACCATTGGCAAAAAATATCAAATATATCAAAATATGCAACTCAAAAATATTTGAACATAAATATCTCAAAATATACTCCTCTCAACCAATCATCCCTTTTGTATGGTGGAAAAATAATAATCAACATGTGAACACCTCAGCCAGTGTTGCTGGGCCATGTGGGGCACCACCTGGTGGCCAACCTGGGCCAAGTCTCCGAAGCTTTTCGCCAGCTAGAGACAGACATCAAAAAGGTCTGACCTGAGTTGATCCAGCGCTGGGCCTTGCTATGGTCTTAGGATGTCTTAGGGGTGCTCACAAGCTAGACTAGCCTAGAAATGGCGGAATTTTCACATCTCGAAATGATTATACTGTATCTACATAATATATATATATAATTATATATACATTATATTCCTAATACCCAACCGATATTGAGATTAAATCAGCTCAAAGTGACGAGATTCGACCCCATAAAACTTGGGTTGTACCACCTAAACCAGATATAATCTGGCAGTTCTCCACCTGGGAATCTTACATGGCAAGCTGGGACTGGAAGACAGCCGAAACCACCATTTTCTGATCGCAAAATTTATAACAAACCGCCTTCATGGGTCCACTTTATCTATCTAAAATGCATCCAGTTCTCATCCAATAAAAGAACAGGAGGACCCTAGACCATGTGGGAAAAAAGGCAGGAAGTGATCGAATGAAGTGCAAATTCATCACCTTTTCCACTAATCTGACTTGAGTCAAAAGAAAACTCGAGCAAATTGAAGACATTCACCTATAAAATTCCACTGGTTGCGATTCCATGACTCAGCCAACATGTGTTGGCATCAGTTTCAGTTTGCCCGTAGCTGAATTCATTTGTTGAATCTCAACACGACACAGTACACTCTGGCAGAACCCAATTGCAGCCGGGAAGACGCAGTGTGACATGCTCCGGAGGCCAATCTGATTCTATAAATTCTTCCGAACAGTCCTGGCCACAGCGCTGTTTTCAAAACACATAACTAGGAGAAAAACATGACTGGTTGGTGGTTTCAACCCTTAAAAAAATAAGTCATTGGGGTTCATCATCCCATTTTATGGTTGAGAACAAATGAAACCACCAACGGAATGACGCAGAATGAAAGCAGGCTGTTGATTAGCATGATGATCCTTGACTGCAAAGGGCAAAAAATTCAATCCGTTTTTGTTCTGTGTTTGGGAAACCAGGCAAGAGAAGTCTTGCTATGCACGCCACAAATGTGGCCACATCAGGAAGGAAATCACTATATCCTAGTTCAGCGTTCCATCTTGCTGAGAACTGTCAATTACTCAATTCGTTTCTGCACACACTACAAACACAAAATCCAAAACCTGGTTCGGTGACAACTCTGCACTCAAGACTCAAGTTTGATAAAAACCCAAAGACGTTGGTTCTGAAGATTTCCTTAATCAAAATGACATCACAGGTAGAGGGTCTAAACATTTCAAACAGTTGGAACCCAAATAGCCAAATTACGATCTGAATGTTTCCTCAAAACATAGCCAAATGATGAGTAATTGTGAGTTTCTCATGGCTAATCCACTTATCACCTCGGTTTGGTGGGGTTTTTGCCCCTCATGTCAAAGGGCAGCGATGTGCCGACCATGTTCAACCCCTTACCTAAGATCAGCCCAGCCCAAAACTTTGCCTTCCCTGCGCGGAAGGCACGGATCTGTCGCTTGTACACCACGTTGGAAGCCTGAGACTCAGATTTTGAGATCCCGCTCATAATCAATCTAACATCATGGGAAATCATCATGTTTGTGTAATATCTAGGTAAATGATCTACATAAATGGACCATCCATTTTCCATAGCTATGTGAATTACCAGAGGCTAATGCCTCAAGAAAAGTCTTGAAATTCCGAAGCGCACATATTACATATCAGGTAAAGTAGCGTGAAAGAAAAGTAACTGTTCACAGGAGTCAAAGGGTACATTTGTCTTGTCAAAAAATGAATGGATTACCATTATATCCTCTATAAACATAAGCCATAAGGGGATGGTTTCAACAGCGTATTCCGACAGAATAAACTATCATCACCCGCTGACAACCCCATTGTTAATACCCATGACGATGTTCAAAACTCAAATATATAGTGTGTGTATATATATACATAGATATATAGATATACGTAAACAACAAATATAAGCATATACATGTGTGATATGTAAATATATATATATATAGATATGTGTATATTGACATATATATATATAGATATGTGTATATAAATATATATATATATATAGTTGTGATACCACCAAATTTAGTCCGCGGCCGGCCCCATGTTGACGATTATCTATCTATCTATCTATCTATCTATCTATCTATGTTTAAAAATATAAACAAAGTCATGACCATCCCATCTACCCCATGTAATTGTTATTAAATATAGCCATGGTCTATATATATATATATATTGTTACAAGGTGACCCCGCGAATTCAAAGTCAGTTTCTGAACTCCAGCAACTATGGCTATATCTACCATTAACCATAGTTGTTGGAGTTGCGTTTGCAAACTTAGCTAACTCATCAGTCTAGGCCGCACGTTGGAATACATATCAATATGGTTTATTCATAATCATCCCGTGCAATGGACCGCAAAAATTATTACACTAATCTCTCAATAGCTGGATATAAATATAAATATATATATATTGTATGATTTATTCATCATCATCACGTGTAATGGACTGCAAATATTATTACAGTAATCTCTCTGATTGTATTGCAGCAATCCCTCCGTATTTAAGTGGAGGTTTCCTAAGTCATGGGGGTACCCCAAATCATCCAAGTCACTGGGCCATGACTTAATATTTAAACTCCTATGATGACTGGGGGATCACCCCATTTTAAGAAACCCCCGTATGAGCTGTAGTATGCTGTCTCAGTGGGGAAATTTTTTTAGAGTCCACCACTGGATTTTTGGGCGTGTTCCCGAAAAATCAAACAAACCACGACATACCCATATAGCTTTGGATCTCTTGGGGATCCCCGTGACTTGAGCCTCCCCCCAGATTAAGGAAAGCCCAAGATGGAATTTGCCATGGAAATATGAGTTTGTCATGGTTTATCTCAAAATTAAACGGATCTTGATGATGTTCCCATTGGCAAAATCACCCATGTCAACGAGAGGATCTCACGGAACAGATCAAGGCGCCGCCCAGCTCCGCATCCAACGTCCTGCAACGAAGATGCTACCTGTTCGCCAGTCACGGCACGTTTTGTCCACGGCACCCGGGAAAGCCGAATGAAAGGGGTCGCCCTGAAAAAAAAAGACAAAACACACGGTTTCTCTTGTGTTTCAGTTTCAATATATGTTCTTTCCGTTGAAACATTTTGGTCGATTATATGATGACAATCTCATATAATTTTCTGAAACCGTCTAAGTGCAAGAATCTTGGGCAAAAAGGAGATGTTCCAGCCAGCCGGCGTAAATTGTATCATCCCAGCAAAGTTTCTGAATCTCTGCATGGCTGTCCAGTAATGTTTGACATTGGTTTTAACAATGGTGAAATTGAAACATGGCCGACATTGTTTTGGTGGGACTTGAATTTACCATATTTTTCATATCTTCTTACGGGCTGCATTTCCATGCAACAAATCTGGAGGACCACCAAGAGGATATCAGGCTCGGATGCTGCCTTGTCTTTTTGGTTCCCAGCTCCCCTGCTACTGTAGAGTCTAGATGTTCTCGCGGTTATGCATTAAAGTAACACTACCTCCCAAAAGACAATTAACTAAAAGTGGAAGGGAAATGTCTGGGACGCTGAATGATACTGCATCATGCTTACTAGATTTGTTTGCTACATGGTGATGCCCCAGGCATTTGGCACAAGCCTTAGCTTTTCCACAGATTCAGACATGCTGTCTTGACACTGCATGCCACTTCATTTGTACTTTTCATTTCACCCGACCTTCTCCTTTTCAGTTTCCACATGATGTTTGGGCTGTGCCCTATCTTTGATCGGCTTTTCACAATGTGTTTGAAGCCACACTTATTCAAGATACATCCATAGAAGCCATGGAGGCTGAGAAGCAGCCCAAAGGATCGGAATCAAACTCCACAAGGGGCAGACCAGACACGAGCGAGACGAATGACACACGCTCTCAGCAAGGATGTCGGCTGCTTCAAGGTCGGAACCCGGACAATGGAGAAGGTGAGGTGCATATTTCAGTTGGGCCGGGCCTCCTGCAGCTCCGAAACCATCTGCGCCGCTTCTTTCCTCCTCACTTCCACTGCATATGCGGAAAACACTTGTGCTGAGTGGCAAGATCCGACAACATCTGCCAAGGCGGTTGGTCCGATATGTGTCTTGCAAGCCGGACGTAGAATGCAAGTGCCATCGTCCCAGATCTCGAAGCCTCTCAAGAGGCTGCTGAACAACATGATCCTCATCCAGGTGTGTCTACATCATCGACCACAACTGAACTCATCGCAGAAGAACTTGAACTCATCAGGAGACACAGACTCTCAACCAGAGAGGCTTCTCCTACAAAGAAGGCTAGAACAGAACCAGTTTGGAAGTATTCTTAGATGCTCTCCCTGCCAAGAATGTTGAACTCTCTGACATCGACTTTGAACTTCATCAGGAACTTCGATCTTCTCTTTCTGGCACTTAACTTGGCTACTCCACTATGACCCCACAGCATGGCAAACTACAAGAATTAACTCCCAACTACATTACTGACAAGTTCATCGACTTCATCACCATCTCCAGCCTCTACCAGGACATCTTTCTTGGCATGGACCCCTACACAAACAAAGCTCTGCAGAATCTGAGCTCAGTTTTCACATGTCTGACTGATGTAGCTTCCGGGCAATTTGTACCATTTTTCAGCACTTCCCTAAGGGTAGCTCACAGCTTCAGATCCCTTATGGTTCGCTTCATTTGGTGATGACATATATTTACCGTATTTTTCTCCATTTTGCTTTTCATTAACTCCATCCTGGAACTACCTGTCACACTGGACTTCAGGTCCTACGAGTACCAAATATTGAAGTTGCACCCATTGATTTTTCCACAGGTCCAAACCTTCGGATACCTTCAGGAGTGAGAACAGCTCATTCTGCGCATGCACTATTTCTACAAGGCTTTCAGTCCACATTATTGATGATCCTTCCTTTGTTGTTACATCCCACCGCACTTGATTCACCTCGTCTTTCCTACAGTGTGCTTGTGTCTCTCCTGTTGCTTTTCTCCAGGGACTTACGGCCCAAGATTTGGTTGAAGATACATCCAGTGAATTTTGTAATCGGCAGGCTATTTATAGTACCAGTTTTTACGGGGCTTATTACGGTACATCCCTTTTTTTCCATAGCTAAAGCTAGCAGGGGCCGCCAGAGGCTTGCCAAGAGACCACTCTCTCTCTCTCTCTGTCTCTCTCTCTCTCTTTGGGGGAAATGTGAATTAATTAAAGGATACGATGGTCTCGAAGACCTCGAAGGAGTATCCGAGAGAGAGAGAGAGAGACTAGTGGTCACAACCCCTGCCCAATATTTTTAGTTGATTGTTGTTCTTTCCTAATCTTTCTTGGCTCTTTCTCTCGATGGTTGGGTTCCACCTTGCCCATTCCACTGGGTCCCGTGTATAAGGTGCTGGTCAACAGCATATCGTGAAGCGCAACGTTTCATTTCTTGGCATAGTGCCATTTTTTGTTTTGAGATTTCTCCAATTGCTAACGGAATGCCCTGCAGATGTCGCTACTGAAAAACCAATGGGTCCGGAATCGTTTGTTTTGTCCGTTTGTTTTTTTCCCGAATGCGTAGCAAGGGTTCCCGTTTCACTCTGGGGGTCTGGGGGTTGGAGTGTGTTCGCTCGACGTTGCGTCCGCGTCCGCAACCGTTCGCAACCGTCCGCAACCGTCCGCAACCGTTCGCAACCGTCCGCGTGAGGACCATATGGCCGTGCCTATGGTAAGTTCTGCAGAGGTGGTCATTTTTGGAGGTTTCAGACGTGTCGTTGCTTCGTTTCGCGTGGCAGGCGTGGCACTTCGTGACATTCAGACGTGTTCTGGAACGTGTCGAAAGTCGTTTTGCGTGGCAGGCGCAATACTTTTGCGACGTTTTCAGAAGATGTGTTGCAGTTTTCGTGGCAGGCGCAGCACTTTGGACGTGTCCATCGCCATTTTTCGTGGCAGGCGCAGCACTTTAGACGTGTCATGTTGCGTGTTTTTTGCAAATCGCATTGGCAGGGCTGCGTCAAGTGGTGACAAGGTGCAAATTCCGTGGCAGGCGTGGCATTTTCTGACATGTGCTGAAAATTGACGGAAGCCTCGCACGAAACATCGATTTTGAGGTTGCCAATTTTCACGTTCTAAGGAAAACTCGTAGGAAAACGTCGATTTTGAAGCTACAAAGTGTGAAAATCGGAGGAAGTCTCGCACGAAATGCTCGTTTTGGTGCTCCCACGTGTCTCGTCTCGAGTCTCTGGTTTCCCTGTGGCCTCGCCGTGTCTATGGGGGAAGCTGGAAAACATGTTCTTGCGGCATGTTTCAAACTATGAAAATTGGAGGAAGTCTCGTACGAAATGCTGATTTTTCTGCATCCACGTGTCTTGTCTCGAGTCTCTGGTTTTCCTGTGGCTTCGCCGTGTCTATGGGGGAAGCCGCAAAACCTCTCCTTTTCGAAGGTTTCCAAGCAGCTTGTCATGTCGTTTTGCGTGGCAGGCGTGGCACTTTGTGACATTCCAACGTGTTTGATAACGTGTCGAAAATGTCAAAATTGGAGGAAGTCTCGTACGAAATGCTCGTTTTTCTGCATCCACGTGTCTTGTCTCGAGTCTCTGGTTTTCCTGTGGCTCCGCCGTGTCTATGGGGGAAGCCGCAAAACCTCTCCTTTTCGAAGGTTTCCAAGCAGCTTGTCATGTCGTTTTGCGTGGCAGGCGTGGCACTTTGCGACATTCCAACGTGTTTGATAACGTGTCGAAAATGTCAAAATTGGAGGAAGTCTCGTACGAAATGCTCGTTTTTCTGCATCCACGTGTCTCGTCTCGAGTCGTTGGATTTCCTGTGGCGTCGCCGTGTCTATGGGGAAAGCTCCGCACTCCTCACTCCACACTTTACACTCCACACTCCTCACTTTACACTCCACACTCCACACTCTACACTCCACACTCCACACTCTACACTTTACACCCCACACTCCACACTTTTTACATTTTACACTCCACACTCTACACTCCACAAACTAGACTTTCCACTCCACACTCCACACTCTACACTTTACCCTCCACAATCCACACTCCACACTTTACACTTTACACTTTGCACTCCACACTCCACACTTTACACTCCACACTCCTCACTTTACACTCCACATTCCACACTCCACACTCCGCACTCTACACTTTACACTTTATTAAACTCCTCACTCCTCCCTCCACACTCTACACTCCACATCCCCCACTCACACTCCACACTCTACACTTTCCACTCCCCACTCCACACTACACACTCCACACTCTACACGTTGCACTCCACACTCCACACTTTACACTCCACACTCCACACTTTACACTCCACACTCCACACTTTACACTCCACACTCCACACTCAGCGCTCTACACTTTACACTTTAAACTCCTCACTCCTCACTCCTCACTCCACACTCTACACTCTACACTCTACACTCCACACTCCTCACTTTACACTCCGCACTCCACACTCCACACGCCACACTCCACACTCTACACTTTACCCTCCACACTCCGCACTCCACACTCCACACTTTGCACTCCAGAATCTACACTTTACACTCCTCACTTTACACTCCACACTCCTCACTTTACACTCCACACTCCTCACTTTACACTCCACACTCCTCACTTTACACTCCACACTCCTCACTTTACACTCCACACTTCCCACTCCACACTCCACACTCCACACTCCACACCCCTCACTCCACACTCCACACTCTACACTTTCCACTCCACACTCCACACTCCACACTCTACACTTTACACTCCACACTCCGCACTTTACACTTTACACTCCTCACTCCACACTCGACACTCTACACTTTACACTCCACACTCTACACTTTACACTCTACACTTCACACTTTACATTTTACATTCTACATTCTACACTCCACACTCTACACTTTCCACTCCACACTCCACACTCCGCACTCCGCACTCCACACTACACACTTTACACTCCACACTCTACACTTTACAATTTACACTCCTCACTCCACACTTTACACTCCACACTCCTCACTTTACACTCCACACTCCACACTTTGCACTTTACACTCCTCACTCCTCACTCCACACTCTACACGCTACACTCCACACTCCACACTCTACACTTTACACTCCACACTCTACACTTTACACTTCGCATTCTACACTTTACACACTCTACACTCCACACTTCTCACTTTACACTCCACACTCCACACTTTGCACTTTACACTCCTCACTCCTCACTCCACACTCTACACGCTACACTCCACACTCCACACTCTACACTTTACACTCCACACTCCACACTTTACACTCCACACTGCAGACTGGTAACAGGGGAAATATGTACAAGACAGTTCAAATAAACTATTGCAGAAAAGTGTTGTGCGTGACTGCATATCCATGTGTTTTGACATCTGTACCATTAACATACGTGTGAGCATTCGGGTTCGTGGGCTTCATCTTGTTTTTTGCTTCGATTTCCTGTTCTGTCCATTTTCCTTGCTATTTGCAGAGCTGGAAGCTGCCATTTCAACGGTATTGCATTTTTGAGTTCGAAGCTGTCGTTTCCCATGGAATTTGCAAAATGTTTGTGCTATGTGCAGCATTTTGGAGCTGGAAGCTGCCATTTCAACGGTATTTTTGCAGCATGTTTGAGAATTTGCAACAACTCGGGTTCATTTAGGGTTGCTTTAAGGGCTAGTTTAGGGTTTTTGTTAGGGTTGGTTTAGGGTTTTCAGAACATTGGTTTTAGAATTAGGGTTTGTTTAGGAACTAGCTAGGGTTGATTTTAGGATTTGTTCAGGCTTGGTTAAAGATGAATGTTGGGTTAGTTTAGGGTTCATTTAGGGCTGATTTTAGGGTTTACAGTTCAAGATCTATTTAGGGTTGGTTTAGGGTGTGTTTGGGCTTGGTTAAGATCTATTTAGGGTTGGTTTGGAATCTATTTAGGGTTGGTTTGGAATCTATCTAAGGTTGGTTTAGGGATTATTTAAGATTTTATGTAAGCTTGTTTTAAGATCCATGTATATAGGTTGGCTTAGGATCTATTCAGGGTTGGTTTTAGGGTTTATTTAGACTTGGTTAAGCATGTATATATCTAAATGGTTTACTGTAGGACCTATTCAGGGTTGGTGTAAGGTTTATTTAGGCTTGGTTTACATCTATGTGGGGTTGCTTTAGGCTTTAGGATCTATTTAGGCCTGGTTTAAGATCTCTTTAGGGTTGGTGTAAAATTTATTTAGGCTTGGATTAAATTATTTTCGGGGTTGGTTTGGGATTTATTTAGGGTTGGTTTAAGGTTTATCTAGAATTAGTTTCAGTTTTATTTCGGGGTGTTTAGGGTTTAGTTGTTAGTGTTTTTTGTTTTGGAACTTATTTAGGCTTGAATTAGGATTTCTGTATTATATGATGCTTCTTAGGGTTGATCTACAGTATGAGATATGAGAAACAAAAAAATGGCAGGGAAAAGCAGAAAAGCAGAGAAGCTGGGAACCAGAAATGCACAAAAAAATGCCAAAACGGAAAAACAAATCCCTAAATGAATAGCCCTCAAAATGGTGATGCCCCGGGCCCCCCTTCGAGTTGTGTCTGCTCAGCGACACGCCATGATGGCATAGTACAGGAAATAGGTCACGAACAAATGCCTGCAGTGACCGTCGAAGCCAGAACCATGACCATCAACAAATTTATCGTGATTATAGAATAGTACCCAAACATTACCACATATAAAGATTAATTTTGAAAAAATATAAAAAAATAGTAACAATTCCTCGCTAGGTCAAACCTGTTGGACCGGTTTCTTCATTGGCTTCTGTGCCATTCAACATATCTACACGTTGCGACCAAGGAAAACCCAGCGCATCATCCTTGACCATCCGCGGTTGTCTTTGCACAGTGCTCGTCTGGTCTGGACCACACAAAGTGCCAGAAACAAACTATATCTATGGATGATGCGGGTGTTACCACCAAATGATCCGAGATTGAACATGATTTTTTTTGCATTGAAACACATGTTAGGGCACAGCTCCCCATTTGGGGAATGCACCCCTTTCAAACTGCGCGGTAGTGGCTGAGCGCAACCGCGGCTCAGGAATCCTACCAAAAGAAATGTTAGTGGTTTGCTAACTCTATGGGTGGGTAATACATGGAGGTTTTGTCCGAAAATCTAGAAATGTTTGATTACTAAAGGGTAAGTGTTCATGATGATTGACTAAATAAATGTTACCCACTATCTTGCTGATAAGTGTCGCCAACACGCTGGCTGGCACAATAAATGATTGCCGAGACCGTATCATCCTTTTTACAGTTTAACTGTCCTGTGCATACATGTTTTTAATATACTTATCAAATACACTTAAAGTACACGTATACCATATATATATATAAATGTACATGTGAAGTATGTGGTACATACGTGGTACAAACCACCCGTATATGTATATTATATATGTATATGTTATATAATGTTATATACAAATATTTATAATCTCATAGAACTGACAATGACTAACGTTGAAGTTGTAGGTGGGGAATCAACTCAAAACTGCGGCACAGCCTTCCCATCAACCATCAAGCCACATGTGAACGCTCTCGACGTTGTGATGATATCCAGCTGCATCCTGGGGCAGTGCGATATCTTCCACGTCTTCCGTAAGTTCATAGATCCTCAGGAATCACCAGGTGGGAGCGCGGATACAACATGGAACGACGCGTAAAGTCAAAGACTTTTACCATAATACACAGTTGGTTAATGATCATCAATGGGGTTATCATTCCATAAATGGTGGTATAACTGACTCATAACTGGTCAAGGGCCAAAACTGTAGCATGTCGTGAAATAGTGTGGACATGGTTCATGCATGGCTAGGATGTAGCGACGAGTAAATGTTCAGCCTGCTAGCTAAGCGGCCATGTTTTGCTGCTGGAGCCCAATTCCTGTTGAAGACCCCATGTCGCGAAGCCACCACGTTGCTGTATAATTATATAATTCATATATACTATAATACTTCTTCTTAGCCTATCCCATCAATCCTCCTTTGCAGGGTCCACCCCCCACCTTGGTGGCCCTTTGCCCTCCCCTCGCCAAAGGAACGCGTAGAACACGCCCGTGCGGTTGCACGCCCACACGATACACGCCTTGGTCGTCAGCTAGAGCCGGTTTGCCTTAGAGCTTATTGTGACTTCAATGGTTCTTTCATCCAATTCTGGGATATCTGCAATGAACATCAATTCAGGATGCCCTCTGGTAATGTTAGCCTCCGATTAGTGTCATGGTAAGGTACCCTATTGTGAGATGTTTTCCCTTCCCAATTGAGCGTCTTGCCGTTTGTGGGGGGGAGGCTCTATTGTCAGAAGTCTTTTCTTACATTCTCACATCCATTTTTTTCAGGAGCAGCTTTATCCACCTGTATACACCTTTCTTTGGGTAAAGCTGGTCCATTTACTTTAGAAAACCATATCCATGTTAAAGCCTTGAAAATGCAAGGTTTCCCAAATATTTTGATGCCTTATTAAACCCTTATTTAAAAACAGCACCCAAACAATTTGTTCAAGGGGGTACCCCATGAATGACCCAGATCCTCAATAATGGAATTGTTTCGATGGTACCCTATTGTGCACAAAAACTTTTGGGGTGAAAAAACAACACAAACCCTTTATATAACCTTTTTATCCACCTTTCTTTGGGTAGAGCTGGTCCATTTACTTTAGAACACCATATCCATGCTAAAGCAGTGAAAATGCAAGGTTTCCCAAATATTTTGATGCCTTATTAAACCCCTATTTAAAAACAGCAACCAAACAATTTGTTCAAGGAGGTACCCCATGAATGACCCAGATCCTCAATAATGGAATTGTTTCGATGGTACCCTATTGTGCACAAAAACTTTTGGGGCAATGTTTTTTTTGGGGGGGATTTAAAAGGAAAATCGAAAGTAGATTCAAATGAATTGAAAGTAAATTAGTTTCAATTGAAATCATTTCTTATCAATAGATTTCTTTGAAGCTTAAAAGGAAAATCAGTTGAAAGTTGATTGATGTCAATTGAAATCCTTACTTATAAATTGACTATCCTAAAAATTGTTGAGGGGGGGGCACACTAATCAGAGCCCAACATTAATCCAACTTGGCTGGGAAATACTTGGGTTTTTTCATGGGAACTATGGTAATAATTATATAATTATTGGAAAAACACCCGTTGATTTTAAATGGATGTTTTTTGCTGCAGTACAAGCTTTGATGACCAAATCCTACATGCTTCCTGCGCGATCGGTGGATGATGTGGATGGGCTTTGGCAAGCCACTGAAATGCCCCGATCGACTGGTTTTAACAACGGGTCATGCCATGATCGACTTCTTGTGGTGTTCATCACCATATATTTACAACCGAGAAGACTATCAAAACTGGCTGAGCTATCAAAACTCACCGCAACTTCCGCTTTGATTTTGCCTGAATTCTCTTTATCCGTAACCCCTATCAAATGCTCTCCAACCCCAAAGAAAATCATTTTCCAATGTGGGGGACCAAATATTGGTGGGGGGTACAGTAATTAACAACGACCTCCCTGATTATATCGGTATAACCGGTCATTCAATATGTACCATTATTCCATGGCCAATTAGTACCTGCCAAAAATAAGCAAAACATATAGTTCGTAATTGCTGAACTACGCATCACCAGTCGATTTACACGATTACATGAACCCTCAACCAACCACCATTGATCAACCATATTCAAACCATATATAACCTTTATAAACATTGGTTTACACCTATATCAGTACACACATTTATCACCTTGGTGGGATTAATCAAGTCTCACAACTTTAACATAAACCGCAGTCTGTGACCCCATCCCGATTAATTAACCATACAAGTAGCTATATGCAATTTACAACACATAACAACATATATATATATATATATATTCATAGTTGCCAATTCTCGGGTATACTATCCATTATATAGTCAAACATCTTTTTTACTATATTATAACCATATCATGACAATATTGTGACATCCCAACTTATGCAGCTATGGCCTGAACAAAACCCATTTATAAAATGTATAATCCCATAGAAAATATCTAACCAGGTTATAACCAGGTTATAACGACTAAATGGCCATAAACTGTGGTGGTTCTTAGCCACCATCGCCATGTCAACAAGGTTCCCCTTGGCCCCAACGTCCCGCCGTCCCCATCCCAGTGACGATGATGCCCAGCACGGTGAACTCCGCCGTGCCCCGGTTGAACAACAAATACGCCATGGGTTCACGGCTGCGATGGTCTATTTCATGCAGAGTGTCCTGGCGCCCAAAAAAAAGGGGGCGAACGTTAAGATGAAGATGATAAAAAGAGGGGAAAGACGTACCCAAAATGTAAGCTACATTTTTCAAGGTGTTTTTGAGGAAGGCCTTGAACATGTAAGCTTACATTTTGAAGGTATTTTGAAGACCCTCCCACAAAAACGACACCTCAAAAAATGTATCTTACATTATCTTACATTTTGGTATGGTCCCACCTCATAAGTAGCCTTAAAGGGGTGGTGATTATATATATATATATCATAGGTTTATTTTGGTTTATTTCTGAGTGTTGCATGGATTAACACCATCATTTTCTTAGCATCATGTGAATCATGTGAATTGAGTTTGGTTTTAATGCACCAGCTGGTTTAATTACTGTGTTTTAATTTGAATGGGTGGCCTAAATTTGCACGGTTTTACGCTTTGTGTTTTTATTATGATTACATATAGTTTCATACATGTTCAAAACGCTTTCTTTTTATATTGTATGTGGCTTCTATGGTTTGATGCAGCTTGCCAGAATGGTCGGGCATGGCGCAACATATCCCCATTGATTGATACAACCCAGGTTACTAGGGATTGGGACAACTTACCCTCTGGTAATTTAACATAGCTATTGAAAATTGTGATTTATAGTGGGTTTACCATTTTCAATGTGATTTTCCATAGTTATGTAAACGTTTACCAGAGGGTAACATACCTTAAGACTGCTGCTGATGTTTTGGAAAATCTGAGAAACAACAAAGATGGACATGTTGCACCGGCAAACATCATGGTGACGCCACCCGAACCAAAGGGATTCTTCGATGATGGCCACAATCTAACAATGCACATCTGCACAACTGTAGTTTATAATCATTAGTTAATCCCTGCTTGTAAAAAATCAAGACTTGAAATTTGTTTTGGCCTTCCAAGTATCCCAAAATAAGCCCGTAATTTCCAACGGAGCGAAAATGACATGCACTTCGCTTGACAAACATGAGCAAACATCACAGTCTTTGTGTCTTACACCCACCAAGTTACATTTTCTCACACGGTGGGTCCCACACAGATGGCCTCTTCGAAGTCGTCCTGAGCTACGGATGACCCTGCACCAACTTGGTGGTTGGAACACTGCTTTACTGTAGAACAGGTTGATTTGTCAGGGGCTATGTTAGACGGGATGTTACCTCAAGAATCCTGGGGTATCTATTATATTGTCGTATACCTTCTGGTAAACGTTTACATAACTATGGAAATCACCATTTTTCATGGGTAAATCCACCATAAATGGCCATGTTCAATAGCTATATTACCTTACCAGAGGGTAAATAGTGATTTCTGGCATGGGCATAGCTATGCCCACGTTGGTATAGGTTTGCTGAAGGATCTTTCAGTCTGATTCCTTTTAAACATCACCATAAGGGGGTCCCCGAATGATGGCTGGGCCTGAAATGCAATGAACAACTTGCGAAACTTGTTCTCTCTAGCCGGCTTCAAAACAGTTTTTTTTTAACATGTTGAAACCACCAACCAAAAATCTTCCCCGGTGATATCCCCATTGTTTGTTGTATGCCCATTTTACAAGTTTCCACTGTACATCCCCACGGTGACGGTTGAATCCACTAGGACTCCACCATGGAATCGCCGGCGAGGGACTGACCAAAAGCCTCGGGAGCGAGTGTACTTGGCCAGCTGGTGCTGCACGCTATCCACCATCCTCAGCGAATACCAACATCACCGCAGTGAAAATAGCGACTGAGTCAAATATGGAAATTCATATAGGTTTTGAATGGTTTTGACCCATCCCCATATCATCCCATATCCGAATATCCTTGAATGGAGTTTCGATTGTCAGGTCTCCTCACCGCCACATGTTTGTCATAGCTATGACCCACAACCAAGCACAGGGTCCTGGCAAGCACTTGGATGTCCATCTCTGATTTAAACAAAAATGTCCAGGCTATCCACCTGAAGTTACGAGTGAGTTTGAAACCATGGCTTCTTAATTCATCTACATGTGCATATCATGTGCAAAATAAAATACATATGTAAATATCTTTATAAAACAAAAATATAATAAATAATTTTCAAAAATAAACTAATAAAAAAAACAATATATATATAGAGAATAAACATAATATAGTGACGGACATATACTTAGAACATCAATTTTTCCAAAATTTCGAAACCTTTTCTTAGAACATCAAAACAACTACACTTAGAACATCAGAAATGTTCTAAGTACGCACTTAGAACATCAGAAAAACAGATACTTAGAACATCTCCTTTGATTTTTTGCATGCTTAGAACATTAAACACACATATACTTAGAACATGTCCTGTTACTTTGGTAAATCTGCATATATACACACAAATACCTTGGTGAACACCATACTTAGAACACTTTCTCCCCTCACTGCTGCAGCATTCTATACCTTTTCTTCGGGAACAATATCCCAAGCAGTCTTCGCTGCAATGGGAAGGTCTCTAGTATATATATATATAATTTGTGGGTTTCCTACAGCGGGTAGTCAAAAAGCATAGGTTTCAATACTAAAATGAGCTAGAATGAATTATGTATAATTTTGAATGTTTTGGAGATGCCTGATTATTGGTTCCCCACTGGGATGTTCTAAGTATAGCTTGGAAATGTTCTAAGTATAGGTTTTGGGTATGTTCTAACGACTTAATACTTAGAACATCCCCGCTGTGACGATTTTCAAATTTTTTTCCAAATGATGTTCTAAGTATTTGTCCGTCGCTATATAGTATAATTAAAATAATATAATGTATGTATATGAATCCCCCTTGCAATTCGGGTCCTCACCCTGGCCCCTGAATCTTTAAGGGACTACTGGCAGCCTCTTAAAGAATGCGAACCAGAGCAAATTTCAGCCTTAAAGAATCTAACCCCAATGAACCAAGATTGCACACAGTAGCCACACATGTCCCATTAAAGGATTGGAGGCCCAAGTTGCACACGAAGGGGTGCCCCTTTAAAGAATTGGATGCCCAAGTTGCAGTCGAATGGACAACGGCGCAGTCAAGCATCATCAATAAGATGCGCATGCAATCATATGAGGACATATAGAATTTATTATTTGTGTCCATATTAGGATTATTAGAATTTATTAGGCATCTTTAGGTGAATCTTGAAAGCACATCTTTAACATTCTTCAACTCTGGAAGGTGTTTTAACACAAATTCTTGCATTTACAATTCTCCTTGGAATTATCCTGCTCACATGGACTCCAGCATTCTTTAGACAAAAAAACGGAGGTCCAACTTGCACTACTGAAATGGCACATCTAAAGAATGCCTACCTAGGATGCAAGGGGGTCTAAGACCATCTAAGAAATCATGGCCCAGGCAACCAACTACAACAAATACACAAAAAACAAATACAAAAGTAAACCTCTAAAAAATAGGGCGTCCATGTTAGCCATGTGGACATCAACAAACATTAAAAAAAAAACGCCAAACGTACCCAAATGATTCCTTTGCACACCGGAGATGAAATTTGCCTTCTTTTGCCCATGCCAGATTAGCGGCTTCTGTTTCTGTCATGGCAGAAGCTTCTGCCAAAGCGTTGTCTTTGGCTGCCTCCTCTTGTTTCATTTTTCTGGTTTGATCAAAATTGATTGTAAACAACATACCCCCCTTTGTATTCAGTCTTTGGCCCGGGTGTCCGGTTCTTTGGTGGAGGGTGCCATTAAAGAATGAATTCCTGCCTCCGGACACGATGAGTTTTGATGGATCTTCTAAAGACAACTGGTGTTATGCCTGGGGATCTTGGGATTTCCTGGGGACGTCCGGATATGAGACCTGGACTGGGTTCGAGCTGGCGTTTTGATTCTTTAGAGGCTCAGGCCTGTCGACCCTACAACTTGGGATATTTTGGGGAGGGTGCCACAAAAAAGAATCAGGTCCTGCCTCCCGACACAGGGAAGGGTGTCCTTAAAGAATCAGGTCCTGCCAAAACACTGTTTTTTTCTGAGCTGGTGTTTTGATTCTTTAGAGGCTCAGGGCGTGTCGACCCTGCAAAACCTGGCAGTTTTTCACAGTTTGGGGTATTTTTTGGGAGGGTGCCATTAAAAAATAAGGTCCTACCTCCGGACACAGTGGGTTTCGATGGATCTTCTAGAGACAATTGGTGTTATGCCTGGGGATCTTGGGGATTTCCTGGGGACGTCTGGATATGAGACCTGGACTGGGTTCGAGCTGGCGTTTTGATTCTTTAGAGGCTCAGGCCTGTCGACCCTACAACTTGGGATATTTTGGGGAGGGTGCCACTAAAGAATCAGGTCCTGCCTCCCGACACAGGGAAGGGTGTCCTTAAAGAATCAAGTCCTGCCAAAACACTGTTTTTTCTGAGCTGGTGTTTTGATTCTTTAGAGGCTCAGGGCGTGTCGACCCTGCAAAACCTGGCAGTTTTTCACAGTTTGGGGTATTTTTTGGGAGGGTGCCATTAAAAAATAAGGTCCTACCTCCGGACACAGTGGGTTTCGATGGATCTTCTAGAGACAATTGGTGTTATGCCTGGGGATCTTGGGGATTTCCTGGGGACGTCTGGATATGAGACCTGGACTGGGTTCGAGCTGGTGTTTTGATTCTTTAAAGGCTCAGGCCTGTCGACCCTACAACTTGGGATATTTTGGGGAGGGTGCCACTAAAGAATCAGGTCCTGCCTCCCGACACAGGGAAGGGTGTCCTTAAAGAATCGGGTCCTGCCTGTCGACCCTGCAAAACCTGGCAGTTTTTCACAGTTTGGGGTATTTTTTGGGAGGGTGCCATTAAAAAATAAGGTCCTACCTCCGGACACAGTGGGTTTCGATGGATCTTCTAGAGACAATTGGTGTTATGCCTGGGGATCTTGGGGATTTCCGGGGACGTCTGGATATGAGAACTGGACTGGGTTCGAGCTGGTGTCTGATTCTTTAGAGCTATACCCTGCAAAACGATAAACATATTTATTTGTATAAATCAATATATGCAATTTGCTGCTTTTATCATATCTAGTCTCAGTTTGATTGCGTTTATTGAGCCATGTTTTGGCCAGCACTTTAAACATTGACAAACTCAACTTAGGGTTCCAAATTAAATCTCTAAAGAATCGAGGGGGAACTGATAACCCGGGTTGACTTATGTTTTAGCCAGGGAAAATTCCAAGAGGGATAACACCATATGATTTTCAAACGCTCTGTTTTCAAACGCTCATAAATGTGCAATAGTCCGGCGTCCCTGAAGAATGTCCTTGTTGAAAAATCAGTTGAAATGTGTTGTCAATGTTGAAACTTGTTTGGCTCATCTGCCATACAAACGATGGCCGGCGCACAACAGCAGTTTTAGCAAATCGCAAAAATTCAAAGAGCTTGTCTATTGCCCCTCAAAATGCTCTCTTTAAAAAAATCATGACCTAGGAAACCTTTGCAAAAAAATGGGGACTCCGGGTTAGCCATGTGGAAAAATCATCTGTTTTTGCATTAAAAAAACGTTTTTTGCGACAATCCGGGTTGTTGCATTTTGTAGTGGAAATTCCAAGGGGGATCATTTACATGCATTCACTCATCACGTTTTCATCTTCCATCTCACCTTCACGTCTTCTGCTTGTGAGCATCTGTTCAAGCGGCAGGCAAGCTGGTTTTCATTTGACACACAATCCCAAAAACATTGATGAACATACCACAAAAATCCAAAAAACAAGTTCCTAGAATCTTCCTAGGAAGGCCTCTTAAAGAATAGTAGACCGTCAAAACAACAGTATACATCTTAAAAAATGAAACTGAATTTTTTGCCGGCCAAACTGTCCTTTAAAAAATAAAGTTTCTTAGAGACATCATGTCCTCAAGTCTTTAGGCTGAATTCCCAGGAGGATGTATATGATTGTACATGTGTGAGAATGTGTGACATATCTGCATTCCATACTTGGGAAAATCCCGATTGACGAACTGTTTTTGGGTGGTTTCAAAGCTCTGTGATCTGCCCATTCCTGAATGCTTTCCAGAACCATCTTCTGACTGACATGTAGCGGAATCATCTCCAACCTCACAGCTTTCCTGGTGCTTCATGATACAGTAGGGATTGTGTTGCATCCATTTAAGCAACCTTTTTAGATCTTTTTAGCACGAAACAAGCAAGACATTCAAAGAAACGAGCTCCTTCCTCCCCCGACAAAAACATGGCCAAAACACATCCCTGACTAAATCCCTGCTTCCGGGCAGCAAGGTGATAGCCACAAGCACAACAATCGTCACCTCTTCCAAGTGAAAGACTTCCTGGTTGGCAACGGCAATGGGCGTCATCCCCCGATAGCATGGTGACGCCCCAAACTTCCCCAGTTGGTTTCCCATTAGTTTTCTGCTTTTGGGGAGTGTCCTGCCACAGCGTGGGCTTGCGCCAAAGCACCCCTGCACCCTTCAAAATCCCAACAATCTTGTATCTGTTGGAAAATCCTTCGTAAATGAGGTCCCGTTGGTCTACAATATGGGTGAAAACCAGGAACAAACAGGGTTGACTGAAAATGCGGTTATATCCGCGAAATTGCAATTTAGGGAAAAAAGTATCAATCCCTGGATTTGGGGGTACACTGAGTACCCAATGTGCCGCAAACCCAGCCACAGCGCCAAGCTTCATATGGATGTGTCCACCACAAGATGCTATCATGCGCCTGCCGTGGTCATTCACCAGTGCAATGAAACGGTATTAAACCATGCGTTACCGGTTACCATGCCATAATGATAATGGCTGGAATGAAAACGGATTGCGCTCTGGGCCAAAAGTATGGATTTTTGAGCCTCAAATGTTGGATTGTTGTTTCATGTTGAAGCGTTGAACCCTCCAGGCTTCTAGGGCACCCAATTTCTGGAGCCAGGGTTCCTATAGGTTCCTTGCCATCGGTTTCTTGGGAAACAACGCAGCAAGCCATGTTATTCTTAACATTTTTACCGTTCAATGGGGAGTTCCAATCATGTCTGATCATGATGATATTCCCTTCATCAAAGTCTCAGCATGGTTTTAGTTAATCACTCATTAAATACCAGGGGGGTTCCAAATGCGCTTCTGCCGATATCTGCCGATGCTCCATTTGTCATGCCTCGAAAAGGGTCCCATGCAAAATCCAAGGTTTGAATGACCAAAACTCGGTGCATGTCGCATGTTTGGACAAACCCACGCATCAAACCGTTGCTTACAATATACCATCATGATGTCCCCATTATTAATTTCAACTAATTACCCAAAGAGTTTTCCGGCTTCATCACCATCAACTCCAAGGATTGCCGCAACAGAACCCCTCCTGGCCAGTCACAGTTGCGTTAGTACCTGAGCCCACAGAACCAGTTGGTATAGTGCGTGAGATCGGGAGGTCAGTTGGTTGGTTTGTGTCTCAGAAATGGTACCAGTGATGAAGTCTGTAAACACCGAAAATGAGTGATAAGCAGGGTTTTCATTGGTTTCAACAATAAAATCGATAATAAAGCTGATGACCGGCACAACCAGTAGTCAACCGTGTGTTTCACAAAAAGGCCTAGACAATTCATGGATATTCCGTCCGATGAAGTTCCAAGCTTACCTTGAGATAACCATGGAACATTGCTTTCGTACACACACATGTATTATATATATAATATATATATATTATATATATATATTATATACACACATGCATATTTGGGTCCGTCCTTAGGGTTCAAAATAGCCTATCCAGGGCCTTGAAGCTCTGAAAAAATATCGGTCGTTTTGCACTTTCAATGCGTTCAGTAAATTTATATTTGTATCAAACGTTTCCCCAAAAAGGTAGGCGTGCCATCCACATGGCCCTCCTCCCTGGTATTCTCACCAGCTTTCACTTTCAAAACGTGGAACCGCACAGCTAAATTGGTGTGCGTTTAATTGCACACTCCCAAAATTATACAAATTCACCAGGTTGTTGGATTTGTGCGGGCGTTTTGCGGGCAATTTTGGTCGCATTTGTGCGTTTCAAATGCGTTGATGCTTTAGATATGAATGGCCTGTCCTGACCCTGGGACGGAGCCAGGATGCAAGCCATGTTCAATCCTATTCAATCATTCCAAGTGTGAAATGTGGTGATAGATTGGCCACTAGGAAGCAAAACTAGGCAAACTAGTAGACGAGATCTTGCAAAACTAGGTCATACTCCAAACTACCAAAAATAATTGAAGAATGTTCAAATGTTCAGGCTATATTTATCGAAATGCGCTGCTCATCAAACACGAGATTTTGGCGGTTTCCCCATTTCATGTTCAAGTTCAACCCCGTCTCCATCAGGAAAATATGTCATGGCCAAGCAGCTGTTGTCCACACAGGCCAGCACGGGTGCAGAGAAACAAGCCACTGCCAAGGCGCCATGCTTCAAACGACCTCACGATGCGTTTCTGGATTTAAGGGGGCATTGTCTAGAGAAAAAATGTATAAAACATGTGCTTTCAAAAACAACATTTTGGGGCTTGACATGTCTTTTGTACAAGCAAAACCAAGTTTTTTGTTTGCCAGCATTCTTCGGGTTTTCTGATAAAGTTCCCTTGAACCAATACTGGAACATTATCTTTAGATTGGGATGGCTGACAGCAACATGAGAACTTGTTTAATGGCCCTTTGCAAGAAGGACCTCGGGTTCCCACTTAGATTCATCCCCCGCCAACCATGAGTCAAAAAGGGCAACCAGTCCAAGTATAGGATACAGCCCATGTGCTCCATGAATGGTATATTTACCCATATGACTGGGCCATAGCTGGGCAATTCTTGAAGTAGATCTTGACAAACACGCTATGGAGCATCCAGGAAGGGATTGAACATTGGGTAAGAATAACAAAGAAAGAACCAACCACGCATAGTGATGCCTAAGGTCCACAGGGGACAACATTCCCACCAGAGCAACCAGGCGTGTGGCCAATGTGACTTGAGCACTACTGAAATACGGATGGAAAAAAAACAACTTGGGACCCAAACAGTCAAAGCAATCCACTTTTTTCCATGGGCTTTTACCAAAAAACTCAGGGGACCCCAAGCTGCCTATTGATCCAAGCACCCGATCAACTCAGGGGGATCCGAGCAACAAAGCATCCAGAGACAATGAAGGGCTGGCAACTCTTTCAAACCGCAGGGGCACACAGCACCCTGTGTGAAACATTGGAAGCGATTCTTTGAGCCTCATACAAAGCTATGGCATATTGTGGCATACAGCACCCCTTCAAGTAAAACACTTGGGAACAACAAGCATCCAATGTCATCCAACTATATACATATGATATGTTGTTGAGTTGAAATTATTTGAAACATTAATCCAACTATAGATATCCAATGATATATGATAATATATGATATATCCACCATAAAACCATGTATAAAGCCTAATCTGACCACCGTAGCCATGGCCCCGAAAAACGGCGCCTTGGCTCCTTTGGCCCCGATGCCACAGCGCAAGAGAACCAGGTCCAACTCCACAAGACCCCGGGGCAACTGCGCAGTTGCAGCGACCCAGGGTCGCTGCCAACGTTTAAACAACAATAACATGAAAATTGGGATGTTGTGGGATATTGTGTGGGATGTGATGGGATATTGAACTATATTTTTTGATCCGTCATAAGTCGAAGTTGGGCATAATTTCCACGTAAGTATGAGGAGACAAAACAGATCATATTTACTTACTGTAACTGCAAAAATTAAAGTCAATATCTACAGGATGCTATAGGTATCGGTTATCAACAGTTATTCAAACATGTGACTGTGGGATTCAGCCACCAGTGCCGGGCAACGCGACAACGCGCCAGGACGTAGCCTGCAAATGCGTAGCACCGATGGGGCCAATCAGGCAGTGCCTCGCTTTGGTGTGGGGCACCGCCACCACAACCTTCCCTACAAACGATAATCCCAGCGTCCAACAACCGGACGCAAACAGGAAAAAAACTAATTGTAACATGTTTAGTTTAAAATTACTTTACTTCGTGTGATCCCCACCATGACATTTATACATTTTGTTACTGGCAAATCTTCTGGCATTCTATCTGACATATTTTCTGGCATTCGATCTGGCATTCTATCTGGCATATCTTCTGGCATTCTACCTGGCATATCTTCTGGCAGATGTTCTGGCATATCTTCTGGCAGATGTTCTGGCATATCTTCTGGCATATCTTCTGGCATATGTTCTGGCATATCTTCTGGCATTCCATCTGGCATTCTATCTGGCATATCTTCTGGCATATTATCTGGCAAATCTTCTGGCATTCCATCTGGCATTCTATCTAGCATATCTTCTGGCATATTATCTGGCAAATCTGCTGGCATTCTATCTGGCAAACATTCTGGCACTTTATCTGGCATATCTTCTGGCATTCTAGCTGACATTCTATCTGGCATTCTATCTGGCATACCTTCTGGCATTCTATCTGGCATATCTTCTAACATTCTATCTGGCATATCTTCTGGCACTCTATGTGGCATATCTTTTGGCGTGGATACTCGCGGTTGAGGTCCGGCAGGGAACACTGGGCGTGGATGGTCGTGGTTGAGGTCCGGCAGGGAACACTGGGCGGGGATACTCGCGGTTGAGGTCCGGCAGGGAACACTGGCGGTGGATGGTCGTGGTTGAGGTCCGGCAGGGAACACTGGGCGTGGATGGTCGTGGTTGAGGTCCGGCAGGGAACACTGGGCGGGGATACCCGCGGTTGAGGTCCGGCAGGGAACACTGGCGGTGATGGTCGTGGTTGAGGTCCGGCAGGGAACACTGGGCGTGGATGGTCGCGGTTGAGGTCCGACAGGGATCTGGAGCTCGCAGTGGAGGTCCGGCTGTGCCCACTGGGATCTGGACTGCGAGGAGGAGGCGGCGGTTGAGCAGGAGGAGGAGACGAGGAGAGGAGAGGAGGAGAAGGCAACTGACATAAAATCTAACAACCCTCACCTCGCAGGTGGGGAAAAAACATTATATGTTCAATGTAAACCTCAAAAAATAGTGCCACATTTTAGAGATTTTAGAGTTGCAAGATGTTGCATCGCAAGTGCATAGGGATCCCCCAACGACAGATCCATCTCCAAACGTTCCAGCGATGAAGGCAATGACAAGGCCTCCGAAAAGCACTGGGGAGGAAGATCAACCCCTTGGAGAAACCATGGGGGTTCAGAAATGACGATGTATCATTCTTGGGAACAACATATATATATATATATAAACACATAAACATACTACTTATTAGTTTGGATGTTCTTAATCGAAATCAGTTGTTTAATTAAATGAATTAACCGGATACAATGATATGTATATAATGATTGCATCCTTACACTTAAAGAGTCGTACGACCATGGGTTTTCGGGGATACAACGATAATTAGGTTGAGTACATTATCGCCAAAACAACCAAAAAAAACTGCGCGTTCAATAACAGAAACACAATATAATTTAATTGAACAAGAGCATCTTCAATTTTGTTGGGTCTTGTTGGTGACACAACAAATTAAACGCGAAAGCCTAGCCAGTCGGGGCATGTTCGGTGGTAAGATCATCTTTGGGAACCTTTTTGGGTTTGGCAAATTCCTCACTTATGGGAGGTGGAAGTGTATTCAACCTTAGGAGTGTCGTTTTGGGGGAAACCAGCCAGTCAACTTGGATCAATCAGGACCCTCTCACCTTGGCGCCCTCCGGGCCAATATCGCACTTGTGCAGGATGAGTCGTAACCTGAGGGGATATTGGCGGATTCTGCACCAAAAGCCGGCTTTTCAAAAGCAGAGAATTTCGGATCACTTCGGGCCCAATTTTGATGGCGCCAATTGGGCATGTTGATCTCGATTGTTCCAAGTGCATCGGTTTTGTTAGTATTTCATTGTTTATCCCCATAAAATAGGTCTGATAACAGAAACAAATGAAACAACAAAAATTACTTTACTTCGTGTGATCCCCACCATGACATTTATACATTTTCTTACTGGCAAATCTTCTGGCATTCTATCTGACATATCTTCTGACATTCTATTTGACATTCTATCTGGCATATCTTCTGGCATATCTGGCATATCTTCTGGCATATCTTCTGGCATTCTATCTGGCAAATCTTCTGGCATTCTATCTGGCATATCTTCTGGCATCTATCTGACATATCTTCTGGCATTCTATCTGGCATATCTTCTGGCATATCTTCTGGCATCTGGCATTCTATCTGGCATCTTCTGGCATCTTCTGGCATTCTATCTGGCATATCTTCTGGCATATCATTCTATCTGGCATCTGGCATATCTGACATCTGGCATTCTATCTGGCAGGCATTCTATCTGGCATATCTTCTGGCATATCTTCTGACATTCTTTCTGGCATTAAACTTCTTCTGCACATTCTTTGTCCCATATCTTCCTACATGAGGTCCGGCAGGGAACACTTGGCGTGGATACTCGCGGTTGAGGTCCGGCAGGGAACACTTGGCGTGGATACTCGCGGTTGAGGTCCGGCCGGGAACACTGGGCGTGGATGGTCGTGGTTGAGGTCCGGCAGGGAACACTGGGCGTGGGTGGTCGTGGTTGAGGTCCGGCAGAGAACACTGTGGATCGCGGGTCGCAGTTGAGCCAGGACGACGAGGACGACGAGGACGACAAGGACGACAAGGATGACAAGGAGGACGAGGAGGAGGAGGAGAGGAGGACGAGGCAGGAGGAGGCGGAGGAGGAGGAGGAGGAGCAGGAGGAGGAGGAGGAGGCAACTGACATAAAATCTAACAACCCTCACCTGGCAGGTGGGGAATAATATTCATATAAACACTTATTATATATATATAAATTATAATATTATAATATATATATATTATTATCTAAGATTCTATTATATTATATTAAATTATTACATTATATTATTATATAGTATTATTAAATTATATTAAATTATATATTATATTATATTAAATTATATTATATTCTATTCTATTATATTATATTATATTTTATTTTATTATCTTATCTTATATTATATTATATTAAATTATATTATTTATTATATTATATTTATATTATATTTATATTAAATCATATTATACTAGATTATGTTAAATCATAATATATTTTACTATATTAAAATATATTATTTTATATTGTTTTTATCATATTATATTATCTTATTTTATTTCATTATATATATTAATTATTATTATATATAAAGAACAATTGTCTATACACAAATTCACATATACATTTATCTATCTATCTATCTATCTATCTATCTATCTATCTATCTATCTATCCCAATAAATTCATAATATATCACTAATTATGTTGGTGCCCAGTGCCCAGTGACCCCGTGACCTCTGCAGCCCTGATGGGAAACGGAGGGCTGCGGCGCCCACCGCACGGATGTTGCAACCTCAGGGCTGCGGCGCCCACGGCGCGTATGCATCGGGTCTGGTATAAGGTTTCTTAAAGGTTGGAAAACACAATAAAAACACTATATATATATATACATATTAGAATTATAAAAGCACCATTGGAAATGTATTTAAATATAAATATAATGTATGTATATATTTATATTTATATACTAGTTATACCTGTTATAGGTTCTACTAGTCTATTAAACATAATGTTGTGAATCCATCATGTTTCATGTTCGGTTTAACACAATGAAAAGTATATAGCTGAAAGCAAAAAAACACCTAGGACCTGGCCGTGGAATGGGCAGGTTTTTTCCAGCACAGCTGAGACGATGCGCTTCCTGGAAGTGGTCCTCCCATCGCAACTGTATAATTTGTATAACTACCGGAACTGTCAGCACCATAATTTGTATAACTACAGTTACTGTCAGTATCATGTACACAACATGTATACGCATTCATTTACGATGAAACTGGCTCAGCCATGCGAGCCCGATGTACGTAGCGTGCGTGCGTCACATGCGCCAGCGTGGCTCAAAAAGGCCATCGTAACTCTCGATGGGACTCCCTGGGTTTGGCGTCGTCTGAAAGAAGACATCGTCGTATGGCAGCCTCAGCTGGGATCCATGGTCCAACCATGTGCAACCTAGAAATGCGGTCAGTTTATGTCATTTTTACACATGTATGAGTCAACCATGCAATTTTGGTTGGCTGGTGGTAACCATGATAACTCAAGTAACGTTGTCATTTTTACTTGTGATTCAACCATTGCAATTTTGGCAAAATTTGGTCAATTGGTGGCTTATCACGGTGTATCCCCATCCCAGAAATGTTGGTCAATTGCGGATCGAAAAAATGGGGGCACAGCTGAACGTGCCCGTTGCGTTACAGTAAATGGCATGGGATCAAAGTTTCCCTTAACCACCGACAGTCCTGAACCACCATTGCCGTGCCGTAGATGGGTTTCGCTGCCCAAATCTCAAGGAAACCCCTATATAGTTAATTATCGCTATTTATCGCTATTAGCATCCATTATCTCCAAATTCATCCGCTTTCGAGTTGTAATTTTCCAAAGGATCCAAGGCACTTCACATCCTTAAACATCTGGGCGAAATACTTCCGGACGAATGGAGCGGGGCACATCTGCTGCGGGTCGCGCTTGCCGGCGTTGAAGTAGCGTCCCCAAAAGGTCTCCTGCGCCCGTAATCTGTGCAATCCTTCAACTCTGATCATTGAATCATAGGTTTCCCAAAATTACAGCATCACCACGTTAGTATTGAAACCTATTTTGAGGGTACCCCAATTTAGGAAACCTCAATTAATATTAAAAATCCAACTCAATGTACATTTCGAGTACATCAAATCCTGGAAAATAGACGGCCATTCACAATCTTCTGGTGCCGTAACGCTGGGGCCCTGGAACCCTGTAACCCGCTGGGTTGCAAAGCTGGTTAATGGTGAAACTCTTGCTGGACTATCATCGACCACAGGATTAAGATTGTATAAACTTTAAACTATAATACGATTACATAGGATGTTTCCATCTATGTTGTGATAGCGACATACTTGCATACTTGCAAATTGGGTACCAGTATGAACTTGGCCGCACGAGCTCGGGAAATCTAGCTGCCGGCCAATTATATACAGTAATCTCGTGGTAGCTGGGAGGTGCCCTGCAATTTACAGCGGCATCAAGATCTCAAGCTTCAAGATGTATGTACTTGACATATCTAATATACATTTATACATGTAAATAAATAAAATATCGATGCTTACTTGATCTTAGTTACCGGAGCAAGTTTGGAAGTCAAACTGCCGACAATATGGACAGATGGAAAAGCAGAGATGGGAAGAGTCAGAGAAGAGAAGGGACGGGACGAGAAGAGACGAGATTGTTTCCGGAAAAGCGTTTCTTGCTGGGTTCCTGTCTTCACAAAGTGTCCGGTTTCTTGGCCAATGGGGAGTCCGGGCAGGATCACGCAGTGACAGCTTTGAGCTGCAGTGCTGCAATGATTGGGATTCAACAAGCAGCAAACATCGGAAGGAAATCTAGCCAACAATAAACATACTTGTCGAAGGAAGTTTAGAAGTCAAACTTCCGACAATATGGACAGATGAAAGGCAGAGCAGGGAAGAGGCAGAGAGAAGAGAAAGATTAGAAGAGAGAAGATCAGAAGAGAAAGAGTCAGAAGAAAGAAAAGGTAGGTGCGCGAAAAGGTAGAAAAGTCGCGAAACACTGTGTTTTTTCCAATGGTTTGTGGCTCCGGAGGTCAAAATGCATCACAACAACTCACCTCTCCTATAGCGTCCTATCTTTGAAACTTCCGCCACCGCCTTGTGCGGTACGACTGGTATATGTACGATTTGCTTTCACGCAGGGCAGCTGTTCAAGCCAAATTTGATTGCCATGGCCGGTCGCCAAGCTGTGACCCACCGCAGGCCTGCACTGGTACAACTGGATGATCTGAGTCAGAATCATACCTTTCGTGGCACACGAAAGGTGGAGCACAGGCTAGGTGAAAAACGATGGGCGTGTGGAGATGAACAAAAAAATTGTCAAACCATCCGTTATTGCCGGTTGTTCATTCACGACTCTTTTTCTTGTATATCCCAAATTTGGGTTTAAGGGAACAATAGCTACATAAAGGTTGGTCAACATTTTCCATTCCACTCAACCACCTCACCAGTATGAAGGAAATGGATTACCCGAATTGACTATATAGACCATCCACAATTGACAATACCTCCATTGTCTGTCCATGTTTGTTGGCTATATCAGTTGCACTCTTCCCTCTGGTAATTTAACATCATTTGACAAAAACCAATGTTTGATAGAACTGGGTTGTTTTCCAGACCTTTTTGAAATTATCCAAGGGTATATCCCTCACCTTTTGCTGTTGCTGGCAACATCCGGCAACCCTCCATCAAAGCGGGACAAGCTGCAGCACCAACAGGCCGGTGTCAGCAACCGCCCGACTCATGGCGGCTTGTTCACGTGGCGCGCCCAAAGCCCACTGTAGATACCCTGGGGCCAGGAAGTCCCCAAAAACTTGCTACTTGTTGTTATTTGTTAACAACTTGTGGTTATGCTATGGTTAAGCAAAACCCAAAGAACATGGCTTACCAGAGTTTTGCCTATCATTCACAAATGCTTATACCCACATCTTTGCATGGGTTGAACTTCTAGTACTTTGAATTGTGGGCACAAAAAATGATCAAGTTCCTTGTTGCCAAAAAACATCGTCAAATTTGACCCATACCCGCGTCATGTCTCCGATCTCATACATGCACTCTTATTACCAAACGCTTCACAAGATTGTAATTGAAGAAATTTGGGTGTGGCAGTGGCAGGTATTTGGGGAGTTGATGGAACACAAAGGTGACTTTCACAAAGGACAACATCGTGTAAGCAGTTTTAAAACAGAAAAACACTTGCAACTTCGCAAGGTAACCCTGAACTCATCATCAGGATTTATTCCTGGTTGAGAATGAATTTAGAGATACAGTTAAACAGTGTCAGGAACCTATTCTTGGATTGTCCCTTATTATTAGGTGGTTACTGGGGGTTCCCATATATAGAGGGTAAATACATGTAAATACGGTATCAGAAAAACCATTTTGAGATATCTTCAGATTATGCCATCACAGGCTATGCTCTTTCAGAGGGTACCTCAGAATTATTCTGCCTACTCACTTTGAGTCAGTTTCCCAACCTTCACTTTGGGCGACTACGCTGACTACAGCTGTTCGTTGGCGCACCAAAAATCCCAGAGGCGCTGGTCTTCCAAAACCAGGTCCACTGTGAGATGTGTGTGCCTAGGCTTCTGGATCTTCTGGATGATACCCCGCCAGTTGTGAAGCAATCACTGCTATGTTACCTATATATATACATATAGATAGATAGACAGATATAGTCTGATATACATACATATATATATATATATAATCCAAATTTTTAAAGCTATATTGCCTATATTTCTGCTATATGTTTGACCTGCTATCTAGTCTGTAGGTCAAAACCCTTGTGCCCTGGTGAACATCCAACTAGCGGAACAAATCACGTTTATCCCCCATGGTATGATAGCTTTTGACTTCCCATATGTCCATGTATATCTTCAGGAGCTCGGAG